TTACCATTTGTACAGAAAAAACTTAGTAACTTATGCTTATGGTTTCAAGAAAAGATGATATTGAACATACAGTCACACATATTTGCACAATCATCAAAGGCAATACATTTAATAAGTTATTTACAGATCACCCAATCCTAAAAAATGAAAAGTGGAAATCAAATAATATTGGAAAAGAACTATTTTTATTATTCCACTGACTGCAAACTTTCATATTCACCATTTCATCTTTTTTGCAAAGAATATGTCGTGAACACATCACATATGTCATCACCTTCACATAACGCCTTGAGGATGCCAAAGAAACCTGAAATTTCTAATTTTTCCCCCATATTTTGTTCTCACACAAAATTAACAAAATGTTTGGCAGAAAAGTATGTATTGTAACATTAACACGAGACACATTGTAACATTAACACTAGACAATTAGGCTCATCAGCAGATGTGTGACAATCCGTTTATGACTGATCTGTCAAAGACGTTTACCCTATGTGAACTGAGCCCTTAATAAGCATTGAAGTACATGTAGTTGGATTGAACTCTGGTGCCTTCATCTGCACAGTATCTCACAGTAATAAAAGATGCATTGCCATCAATAATACATGACCAGATTCCACTTGAGGTACATCCAAGTAGACCTATCTTAAAGATTTTAATTTATTATTCAGGTTAAAATCAAGGATTATGTATTTCTGTTTGACCTGTTTCTGTTTGATTGTGACAGAAGTAGGTGGATATATGTTGCACTAGACTTGCACTAGACTTCCACTAAACAAACAGCTTACTCATATGCAGGTCCCTTTTCAGGAGTATGACATGGAATAATTTATGTGTAGATTTAATGACAATTATGAAAATTAAGCAAGCTTACTCAGGACACATGAGCATGACAGATGAACCTGTATGGCCTGGCCTGAACTGACCATTCCATTCGGATGTTGGAGCGGGTGGGCTGGGTTGAGGGGCAAGGCAGGAGGTCAGTGGTATAGAGAAAGAGGCCATGAATTGAGGGCACCTGCCATAATGCCCCATCATGCATCAGGCAGTGTGTTGACCAGCATGTACCATAGTCCACCTCCAGTCATGGCCTGAGGAAGGGAGATAACACTTGACTTTTTATTTCAACATTCTGTGGATGGATAGGTGTTTCTGCTTGTTATGCCTTATTTTACCCCATCTGTATGAGCATTTGAACAGTAATGGTACATTTGTACAAGATTGCTGTCTGCAAAAATATTTTGAGATAAGATTATTCATGATTCAGTGTTCACAGTTCTGTGCTGAGAAAGGGATGGAAAGAGTGAACTTCTAAATTGATGATATGTTCCTTAATACTAGATTTATGTGCATATTGAACTGTAAATGATATGCATTTACAAGTAGAGTAAAATGTCTGCTTGGTGACAGAAAAGTAATACGTAACCTTATAAGTATTTGACACAGGTTCTGATTTGAATTGGGGCGGTCGGGTAGCCTAGTGGTTAAAGTGTTCGCTCGTCACGCTGAGGACCCAGGTTCGATTCCCGTACAATGTGTGAAGCCCATTTGTGGTATCCATCTGAAAACCTGAACAAGTGTGACAGTGTTGATCTATGTAGTCTAGAGACTGGCCCCAGCAAAACACTGTTCCATCCTAAGATATATCAGGATATGGGAGTTAGGTTATCATGGTTGTATGAAAACTTCTTAGATAGGATCCAGAGCTCCACATGTGATGCTAGCGTTTGGACTACTGTAAATATGTAGGAGTGTACAGTAAATGCCTGTAAATCTAGAAGCTAGCATTTCGTGTGAAATTGTCTGAATTAAGCAATCTTGGGTACAAAGACACATTCCCAGCAGTAATCACCATTCGTATTTGTCTAGTATCATGTGTTAACATATGGCAGCAAGTCATTATGAAATAGCAGGAAGAATGATCTTATCAATCTTCCTCATTGAATGTACTGATATTACTGAAGATATTTTGTAAGAAATATATTCTTTCTCAGCTACTAGACATTTTTCCTTTTGAAAAGGTATTAAAGACTTGTCAATAAAAATAGGATTTGCCTAATTTTGATGTGTCATTTTCCTTCAGAAAAGAGATGGAATTTTATATGAGTAATACTAAAATTTAGCCTTAATAATGAAACATGAAATGAGGAAAATAAATGTTCCTATGACCTACTGTAGAGGTTTGGTCAGAGTATTATGCATACAATCCCTGAGGCAATTCATTTTGGTCACGTATGGGGTAATTCTGTCATTTTTGGAAGCAAAAAGATGTGCCCATCATCTAAAACACAAAACAGTTTGGGATCAACCACCAACTGGATTTCCTGAGTCTTTATTCAGTGAAGGAACACAGAAATATATTCAGGAGTTGGTATATTTATGTGTTCCACTGAATGCCAAGTTATGTGTTCACTACAAAAAAAAAATCATGTATTCAATAGATTTAACTGCAAGCCATAAATGAAACAGCAGGACTGATTGACACAACGCTGCACACATAAGCAACATTTTATGGAGAACCCAACAATATTCTGTAATGTCTTTTTGGAGACTGCCTGGTCTGACTGTTCAAGCAATACTTCTTCAATACTGTTTTAAGCAGTGACTGTGACTCTACACTCCGTCAGGCAGTGGTTGGCCCAGGTGGCCCAGTCGCCCAAGGCGCCGCGATTCACTGTGCAGTTATGTCCCTTGGGCACGCCAGAAACCTATCATTGTGGGTTCGAATCTGGGTTCGCCCTGATTATGTTTCTAGGTTTGTCAGCACCATACCTGTGCTTGTGGGTTTCACCCAGGTGGTAAACGTCTGAGACCTGCATCACTTCGGGCTTTCCTCCCACATTAAGCTGACACGGCGGCGTTAAACCTAACTCACTCACTCACTCTTTCAGACAGTGAATGCACATAAACTCATCATATGTAGAAATACATATTTACTCCACTTGAATGTCTATGTCATATAGCTGCAAATAAAATATTCAAGAATTTCAAACAGCTTTTGTGAATATGCTTAACCCTGAAAACATGCATTGAATGCTCCAGAACAAAAGAAGAGATTTTGTTTAGATATTTCATTATGTGATGTGTACTGACAGTTCATTGTATAAGAACCAAACTGAAATGCCTTGGCACCCAAAGTCATGTCAATGATTATGGTTAGGTTTCTACAACATGAGATATGCCTAGACATGGACTAAGCATCTTTATATTGTCTGTCTTGCAGAACAGTAATATCAACATATCTGCAGTGTTGGCAAACAGAAACCTTTTCAATTATTCATTTTGTTAAAAATTCCTACTCTTAGTAGTTAAAGAAAATGAAATTTGAAATATTTTAAGCTTATCTTTAATGTTTTAAAACAGGTTCAATAGAATTTGTTTGGGTATTTTCATAAATATATGATATACAATCTCATTAAAATTATATCTTTTATTTCGATGTGATCCTCTCTGCTTTAAGATCTGAGGACACCAGAGAAGGTCACGCCAAGTGAATTTTGACTGCCCAATTTAAGTGAAGGATTGTTGGTTCCTGAGCCAATCTTATGTCGATTCATGTTCAATTCTTACCCATGTCAGTAACACATGGTGTTATCACTGATTTTCATTGATATATTTGTATAAATTCCATCACTGTTTTGCCTTTTAAACCCCATAAAAATCTGTTTCGGTGGATATTTAAGACTTTGATGGTCCTCTTTTTGGTGTAGATACATGGCGCAGATACGACAGGGTGAACAAAATATCGCAACAATATAATGGCACGACATTTATTGTTTAAATTCAGAACATGCCAATAACCTTCTTTTTCGAGATTCAGATATGCGAGTTTTTCAATCATCCATACCAAGAAAGTTCATTTGAGACTACCTCCTTTTGAGGTGTAGTGGTGTGTGGGTGTGGGTGTGGTGTGGTGTGGTGTGGTGTGGTGTGGTGTGGTGTGGTGTGGTGTGGTGTGGTGTGGTGTGGTGTGGTGTGGTGTGGTGTGGTGTGGTGTGGTCTGGACATGTAGGCTCAGGTGTTGACATGTATTACTATTCATGCAGTGTTGGCCTCAGGCCAGTGTCAGCTTGTGTCATTGTTTCATTCTCCTCCTCTTTTTCATTGTCATCTGTCATCCTTGTCATTCTTTCCATCAATTGTCATGTGTACATACACATTCATATTTCAAGCACCTCAGTTAGCCTTCATAAACCTTTCACTTGGACCAACTGATTCAATGAAACGCATTCAAAGTATGTGTGTATGGCAGTTTTGTATAATTAAGAAAAAACAAATCATATGACAAAACTGTCCTGAAAGAAGTCACTTGATGTTGGCACACTTTAGTTTATCATGCTCCTAAATTCTCTCGAAAAGCATTTCCTCGCACTGTAAACGTCATCTCAGAAACCTCAGAACACCCCAATTTATTCAAGAGGTTTAAATAGCAGCCATAATGAAAAATCTTTTTGTGGCCATTACTGCACCTTTCTAGTTCAGAATGTAATGACATTTGGTATTTGTTTAGTTTCATAATTATTTTTAATATGTTTTACCTTTACCTTGTTTTGACCATGCTCTTAATGCTGTCAAAGTCATATGGCTCTCCTTTTGATGACATCATATTTTGTTCAAATCATTAGATATTGTTGTCAGTATTTGTTTGTCATGTTCCTGTTTATTCAGAATTTCTTTTTGATATCAATGCTGACAGTAACTATTTTTGACTGTCAGAAAACAAAAAACAACACCAGGACCAATTTATTTCCTTCTTTAACAGATGTGTCGATCTTGAGTTTGTTAAAGGAAAATTAAATGCTGTGTTAGACTGAACATTGATTGACCATCTGTTTGTCTGTATATTTATAACTTTTTTATGTTTTAATTTGTAATGTAGGCCCTTGTACCAAGGAAATCTGTGAAACGAGTGAAGTCGGGTTTTAATAGATCATGAATTACTATGAGATTCTGTGATTGTTTCCAGTGCCAGCTGTGTACTGACAGTCTTGTGTCTGTTTCAGGTAGAGGTGTGAGGAGGCAAATGCAGCATCTACCTCCAGTCCGTGTAATGGTCTCTCCTACCTGTTGTCAACTACCTCACCCCACATTACCCATCTACCATGAGTGGCAGTAACAAGAGCTACCTCCCCTCGCAGAGGATGATGCCCGTTTACACCACCGTCAGCCCTCCACAGACAGAAAGGAACAGTGTACCGGAGTTCCCATACGATCCTGTGCCCAGCAAAACATTGTCGTCGCTTTCCAAATCTGCTTCATACGGCCTGTCTTTGGAAGAAAATTCTTCACAGTCCAAGTCGGCTGTTTTCGCTATGGCTCCAGGGGAGTCTCCTAAGCAAGTAGCCTCATATTCGCGAGTGCAGGAATTCCCCTATGACCCACCTGACAAGAGCAAGCCCCCAGACTATCCCTACGATGATCTACCCAATGGTGGGAAGTCTGGGCAACCTTCTGCCGCTGCGTACAGTCGTGGTGAAGACAAGACCTCCCCACCCTCCTTAGCTTTAGCATATCCTCGCATGCAGGACTTTCCATACGGGTTAAGTGGTGTAGCTATGCCTAGCTACAATTACAGCAGTGAACTATATAGTTATGTGTCAAACGGGTTTCCTCGAAAGTCGAGGATGTGCAGCTATTGTGGAAAAGTATTCACTCGATCCACAACTCGTCGTTATCATGAAAAGCGGTGCCCACTGTTGCGAGCTGCTGGTAGCTTGTTAAAGAACGAAACTCAAGTAGCAGCAGCAGCAGCAGCAGCAGTGAAGACCGAAACCTCTCCGTCTTACGCTTCAGCAAATACCTCGCACACTACCGTCTCCTCAAGTCAACATACCTCATTTGCACTGGCTTCTTTATCCTCCCAGCCATATGCATCTACCTCAACTGCTGCTGTGGACCAAAATCGAAATGCAGTTAGTGGGATTAAGGGTGAACCTCACGAGATGCTAGATCCATCGCCCTCAAATTCTGAAAGTTTTAGCCAAGGAGATCTTAGTACCCCACGTTACACCCCTGATTTTGATTCAGCCAATCAACAGGTTTTAATGTTTTCCCCTCCAATGAAGGACCGCTCCTCCGAATCGCCATTATCATTACAGACTGATAACCAGACTGCCTCAGATCATCAAGATACGGGTGAACCATTAGTGTTCAAAGATAACATGGACCACAGCACAGCCTCTGATCTGGGGGCCGGTAGTACTGATGCCCTTTACAGCAACTCCAATGCCGGTTACCAGCAGTACAAGGACATTCAAGTGTCGCGACAATCGTCTTATCACTCAGGGATCGCCACTAGTTCATATAATAACACCATTTCTCAGGGTACCTCAGGAGATGGCAGCAGTTTCAATCAGGACATGGCTCAGGAAAACGATAATATGTGTGACTCCAAATCTGAGGAGTGTACACCGAAATCTGTTCTTGCCAACAAATGCAGTATTTGTGGAAAAACATTTGATTCACCTCGTCAGCTTCACATACATGAACAGCTGCACACAAAATACAAACCATATGCATGTCGTTTCTGTGGCCAACGTTTCCTCAAAGTATCAATGCGTATTGCGCATGAACGGCTTCATATCGGAGAGAAGCCATACGTCTGTGCCATTTGTGGCCTGACGTTCACACGCAAGTACAGTGTGCGGCTTCACATGCGAAGGAGACATACCGATGGTCCATGTCTTTGTCGATATTGTGGGAAGACGCTGTACACATTGCAGACTCTGAAGAGCCATCTGCTGTCACACAACCTGCCCAAGTCTGAGAAAGAGTCTCTGCACTACCTCGGGACATCGGGAGGGGAGCGCATTGGTGATGCTAGTGGTGCCAAAGAAGACGATGAAAATGCAGTAGTACCAACAACTCCAGAGGACCAGCTTGCACAGTCCAACAAAGATCTAGCTCTTGCTATGGAGCTGGAGCTTGGAGGCAATTCAAAAGAGAAGGAATGGTGTAAGCTGTGTGAGAAAGAGTTTCCCAAATCGTTCATGAGATATCACGAAAAGCTCCATGCTGATCAGAAGCCCTATGAATGCCCTACGTGTAACAAGAGGTTTGGTTACAAGAATAACATGAAATCTCATATGAAGCTCCATGCTGGAATAAAACCATATCAGTGTCATGTGTGCGGGGCAAAGTTCACACGTGGTTCCACATTGCGGCGCCATGCTCGACGCCATGGGATATTCACGGAAAGTGTGTGGGATTTCTTTGTCCAGAAGGGTGCTTCCTCAGGAAAACAGAACAATGTCTCAAAGCAGAAGGGACCAGTGGGCCCTCTGAAAGTGCAGACTCAAGGTCAAGGACAGTCTTCTCCAGAAATATCAAGTTCAAGGTCAACACAAGGTGAAACCGCAAGAGCATCAGTAACACCAGACAAATCAGTGAACTATGAACGCGGAGCGTACTCTGGACCGCCCGCTCTGACTACGAGTACCATGTACCCTGGCTATGCAGCAGTAGCCACTTTACCCGAGAGTATTTATCACACATATCCATCTACCTCACACTTCAATGTTAACTATTCCAATTACACTGCTAGTCAAGAACCTCAGGCTGATGCCCTCAACCTGAGCGTGACCAAGGACGCCATGGAAGCTGCTGCTGCTGCTGCTGCTGCTGTTGCTGCTGCTGACATAGCAGAAACCTCCGAGGATGAAGCAGAAGGAAGTGAGAGCAAGAGCAACATATCGTCACACACTTGCACATCGGGTGGTGCTAGTGTCGGGGTGCAGGTCAACCTCTGTGGCTGTACCGATAAGACCTCACTCCTTGCAACTTTGCCATTTGACAACCGACTTCTCAGTCCACTTAATATTGACGGGTCCGGGACGACAGCAACGAGTCCCTCGCTGAGTTCAGGGGGAGAAAACTTTAATCAGGAATCTGTATCTACGCTGATGAGTTCAGGGCGCCTGTTTCGGTGCAGTCACTGCGATTGTTACTTTTCTGAGTATGCCATGTACCGTATTCACCAGAAGCTGCACGCACGGGATGCCAACCGACCCTTCCTGTGTCCTGTGTGTTTCGAGGACTGTCATGACAAGATGTACTACGCGTTGCATCTTTACGAACACCTACGCATGTGACCCACCTCAACAGACAAGCACCTTCTCAAACTTACCTCATTTTAGCATTATCATCATTATTATTATTGTTGTTGCTTTTAAGGTATTTGCCTGTCTCAGGATAGACAGCTTTCAACTTGTTGAATTTATGGTCATAATGCATTATTCAATGATTGATTTATGGATCTAAGTTGTTGATGTCTGCTTGTGTAAGCTCTCTTGATAGGCACCTGTATTTCAATCAGTAATGATTTTCTCCATAATAGGCCTGAAATCTACCTGTAGTATCTTTCCAAACCAATTGATGTATGTTGTTAGCATCATTCTGTCTCATGAGACCAATATCCCTTTTTCAGATAATTCCAATGTGAAAGAAAATTGTTGAAAGTTGTGACTTCATGTTTTCTCCTAAAAAGATCTGTTTTACTAAATGTATATTAGTGCTTGCATTTGGGGTAGATATACTACATTTATGAAAGTTAAACTTATTCCTGTGATAGATTGATCTTTGATAGCTCAAAGTGGCCTTTGTTGAGAGATATGTGTAAAACACACATTGTTTAAAGACAGTGATGTACTGCTGTAAATACGTGAAAAATTGTAGAATGTATGTGTTTGTTACGGGTCAATGCTGGTAACCACGGAAACACCAGATTTCATGGTTCCTTATATGTCTTAATAGACTAGTGCATTACAAGCTCTGTTTTAGGGTGAGTATATTACAATGAAATGTGTCAGGGACATAGTGACTGAAGTCTAGTGATGTGTACAGTCCTCCCTTGTGCCTTAGAGAGGGAAATAGTTGTTCTTGTGTACCACTATGGTAGTGAATGTCCCATAGTGGGGAAACGGACATCGCCATACGCTGTGCCCCTATCATGGTAGTGGGTGTTTAAACATATGAAGAAGACATCATGACCATATGCTGTGCCCCTACCATGGTAGTCGATGTTAAGGAATGCGAAACAGACATCACTTCCGTACGTTGTACCCCTTATATGATAGTGGATTTTTATCAGTGTGAAGCAACATCTTAACCATATGGTAGTGTCTTTGAAACTATTTAGTTTTTTATCCAAGTTCAAATCAGTATCTTTTGTCTCGAATTGTATCATTAAAGAAACAAAACAAAACAGATAAAGTAATATTTCTTGCAAACAAAAATTAATCATCACAACTCCAATATGTCTGCTTGTTAGAAAGGCCACAAGTAGGGAACAAGTCTGCTGTCATGACGGGTGCAACCATGTTGGTTTGGGGGACATTGTGTTGTGGTACATGCTGCCGCCATGATGCCCTGTCCAATCTGTCATGGAGAAGGATGTTTGTACAGTGGGACCCCATTTATCTGGACATGGTGAATAAGAATCTGTATATTGGTAGGCTGACTTTCTATTAGCAGTTACTCATTATCTCTAGATTAATGGACACAAATTAATCAGTTCTCATGCTACCTGAACAAAAAACATTTCATTAATCTAAACCCCAAAACATCATCACTTTTAATCAATGGCCTTCTTTGCTAACCAGTTTTATGCACCTTTAGCCCTTTGGTCATTGACAACAAGGGAATTATGGATGTAAAGAGCAGTTGTGAGTCGAAACATTTTGATCTTTCAATGGATATTGTCCAGATAAGTTGGTTCTCACTGTATGCTTATGTAATTCCTTAATATCTGGACATGATGGCAAAGGTTTCCCCCCTGTCTTACACTCATACCTCATACTTTGTGTTTACTGCGTTAAACACTGTTGTCTTTTGATTGTTATGTTCTGGTTGAGCATATTCGTGCACACAGTCCAGTGTCCTCTACCTGTGTGTGGAAGGCCTGTTGAATGTTAGGGTTGGAGGGTTATTTGTTCAAGGATTAGGTTGGGATGACTTGTTCAAGGGTTAGGTTGAAGGGGACTGGTGGGAGGGTTAGGTTGGTGATGACTCGTTCAAGGATTGGGTTGGGATGACTCGTTCAAGGATTAGGTTGGGATGACTTGTTCAAGGTTTAGGTTGGGATGACTTGTTCAAGGTTTAGGTTGGGATGAAGTGTTCAAGGGTTAGGTTGAAGTGGACTGGTGGGAGGGTTAGGTTGGTGATGACTCGTTCAAGGATTAGGTTGGGATGACTCGTTCAAGGATTAGGTTGGGATGACTCGTTCAAGGTTTAGGTTGGGATGACTTGTTCAAGGTTTAGGTTGGGATGACTTGTTCAAGGTTTAGGTTGGGATGAAGTGTTCAAGGGTTAGGTTGAAGGGGACCGGTGGGAGGGTTAGGTTGGTGATGACTCGTTCAAGGATTAGGTTGGGATTACTCGTTCAAGGATTAGGTTGGAATGACTTGTTCAAGGATTAGGTTGGGATGACTCGTTCAAGGATTAGGTTGGGATGACTTGTTCAAGGGTTAGGTTGAAGGGGACCGGTGGGAGGGTTAGGTTGGTGATGACTCGTTCAAGGATTAGGTTGGGATGACTCGTTCAAGGGCTAGGTTTAAGGGGACCGGTTGCAGGGTTAGGTTGGTATGACTTGTTCAAGATTAGGTTTAAGGGAACCGGTTGAAGGATAAGGTTGGGATGACTTGTTCAAGGGCTAGGTTTAAGGGGACCGGTTGAAGGGTTAGGTTGGGATGACTTGTTCAAGGATTAGGTTGGGATGACTTGTTCAAGGATTAGGTTGGGATGACTCGTTCAAGGATTAGGTTTGGATGACTCATTCAAGGATTAGGTTGAGATGACTCGTTCAAGGGTTAGGTTGGGAAGACTTGTTCAAGGATTAGGTTTAAGGGGATGGGTTAGAGGGTTAGGGTGGGATGAAGTGTTCAAGGGTTAGGTTTAAGGGTTTAGGTTGAAGGGTTAGGTTGGGGCAGGCCAGATTGGGGATGGCCCATTGAAGGGTTAGATTTCAGTGTCAGGTTTGTGTTTGGAAGGCCTATGTTGATGGCCTGGTGAAAGGGTCGGAGTGGAATAGGCCTGTTTTTGGGTGAGGGTTGAGGGGACCTGTTCTAAGGGGCCGTTGACAGGTGGAAGGGGAGAGTGGGGCTCGAGGTTGGGAATACAGGCTGACTGAGAGAACTGTCACATCGTCTACCTCATGTTTTGGCAGAAGGCACTGGACAGCACTGGCTCTGATTATTTCAGTATACCTCAATATATCACTGTATGTAATTGTCCTCATTTACCACAGATGGTGAGACTCCTTTATTTGTCCTATATTGTATGTATTAGATGTATGACTTGCATTTTATGTTAATCTCAGTTATTGTATTGTTATTGCCTTGACCACTATATGTAGGCTGGTGCAAGACCTACACTATGTAGTAGTTTTAGGTAAGGGATGAACTCCTCAGGAAAACTGTCCTTTCTCTACACTCTATAGCTTCACCCAAACTTGAATATTATCTCCAGCATTGAGTCCACATGACGGTTTGTACATTCGACACACGTATCAAAGGAGAAATCAAAGCCATTCATGAAATTCTGATGTTTAGTTTCACAGTTTGTAACAGTTCGATCTACGAATGACATTGGAAACTGTTTGGGCATTATGAACTGAGACAGGATTTCTGTAGAATCCCAACTTTGTTTACCTCCAACTCTGTTGCTAAATCAGTTGTACTTCACATTCAGGGTATTGAATCCCAGGCAGCTATTGTAGGAATTACATACCGGTAGCCACTGACATGCTCCACTATATAGGTACTGAATGTTGGCTCCACAGTTATCACACACACAAGTTCACTAAGCTCCAGTTATCACACACACTAATTCACCCAGCTTCAGTTATCACACACACTAGTTCACCAAGCTTCAGTTATCACACAGACACTAGTTCATCCAGCTCCAGTTATCACACACACTAACCCACCCAGCTTCAGTTATCACACAGACACTAGTTCATCCAGCTCCAGTTATCACACACACTAGTTCACCCAGCTCCAGTTATCACACAGACAGTAGTTCATCCAGCTCCAGTTATCACACACACTAGTTCACCAAGCTTCAGTTATCACACAGACACTAGTTCATCCAGCTCCAGTTATCACACAGATGCTCCACTCCTGTGACAGTCACACACATTGGCTCCACATTTATCACATGGGCAGATGTAGCCTTCAAGAAACTCAAACCCTTCACTTCATTTGACTTCTCAGGAAAGTTCTTGTGGCTCAACAAGCTGTTAAGTATTTGACTCCTCAGGAACTCCAAGAATACAGCTCACATTTCACTCATCACCTTCCACAGTTCACAGGATTCATTCAACATCTGCCAGGAAAACACAACCTTTTGTTCATTACACAATAAAAATTTGATTTGTTATTGGATCCACAGCACCACTGGTTCTATACAAGGACACAAAGACATTGATCATCATGACGAAAGAAAACCAATTAAACGACTCTGCTGGTGCCACAGAATCCTCATAAGGACACAGCCACACACACAGCCACACCCACATCGACCCACACCCACATCGACCCACACCCACAGCCACACCCAATGCTGAACCACAACGAGGCACATGAGTACTCCACTTGTTCCAAAACACATTCATAATACAGGCTTCATAGAATCACAATACACACACACAATACAACTACAAGAACTGACATTGCAGAAGATTCACCTTGCCTTACCCACCAGCATTACTGTATACTCTACAGCTTCAAACAGGTCCGAGCACTGATCAAATCAACTGAAGGCTTCACAAGCTAATCACAATGAGCATTCTAGTCTAAATGTTAGTCTAAACTAGACCAGAAGAACATGGCACTTAGTAAGGAGTAATGTTTGGGTGAGACTGCTGTTTGACTTGATGTAGAGATCTGACAGAAGGAACATTTGACATCCTCAGGAGGGGCCAGTATATCCTATATTTGATGTATGTATGTGTATTATATAGCTATATTATTACACCTAGTGTAAGAGAGTTTATATATCATAGATTATTACTGCCTACACAAACACTGTATATACTATGGTGGTGTTACTTGTTAGTGTTTTGACAGGACCAGATGCTGAATGAAGAAGGGAATGAACTACACAAAACTCAGGTCTGCATTTTACTCTGTAATAATTGTCACTGTAGTTACATAGCTCATCGTTGTTTGCTAGCCAGACATAGCTCCTGGGCGACGTTGCCATCACCGTTGTCATCATTGCCACTGAGGTCTTCTTGGTTGATGTGAGAGTAGGGTGGTACACAGCTTACACTTACTCTCAGTTGGACAATCAAGGCAAATGTTGGACTTGAGAATGAATGCATTGTGTTGGAGTATTGTCAAAATGGCTGGAGTACTGGTTGGATGGATATCAAGTCAGTTGAACTTTTGACATCAGTTGTGCACCAGTTGCAAGTTAGTGCTGCATTGTTAAGTGGTGTGACTACTCAAGCCAATGTCAAACATGGATAATTTGTTGTTATTGTTAAATATAATTACAGATTGCAGGTATTACATTGTATACAGTTTTAAAAGGGTACTTGTCTGCCAACTTGCTCTGTCCATTTGCTTTTTGACAAAATAACAGTGAAGCTTGCTTGACTTCATTGACTGACTAGCGTGTGTTAGTAAAAGAGTTCTCTCTGAATTTCAGAGACAAGTTCCCTTTTAGCATTGTAGGAAGGTAGGTCATGATGACACAAAATCATTATTATCTAGCCTCATGTGTATAATGTGTAATTCAGGTCCAAGTAATTGGTATATTTTTTTGTACACGATTAAACTTTAGACCTCAGATTTTTTACATTGAATTTTTTGTTAAAGATATTTTATTGTTGTATAAGTTCTGCTAAGTTTGTTATGCTGAGTGGATGAAGTAAACAAGCTTGCTGTGATCCACAGCATTACTGTAAAGATGTTATGATATTTCATGAAACATTTATACAAGTGATGATTCATCTTTGTTGAAAAAAAAATGACGATGTGATTGTGTGTGGTAAAGTATCTGGTGCACATGACTATGTAAAGGGAGCTAACTCTGTCCTAGCGCTCACATTGCAATTCTGTGAAGAGTTGTCTAACTTGACAAAATACCCTTGTTTCAAATCATAAATTTGATGTTGCCATGCAGTTGTAGTTTTTTAACTGGTGATGGACATTATTGGGGAACATTTTATTAACAAAAATCAAATAAAAGGGTATTTCGTGAAGCAAAACATGAAACTTGTGTTGTTCTGGGAGCAGTGGCTTGTAGCGTACTCATTGTAGAATCATCTCCTTTCTACCAAAGAAAGATTCATTGTTCATAGGGTCATCTCACTGCAGTGTGTTGCCTACTGGTTCTTATATGAATAATGAACAGACTTTAACCTACCTCATTTCACTGGATTTTATATTTAATTTTTGTGTACAAAGTTGTTTTATCCTGGCTGTATATTAAAAGAGGCACATAGCTCTCTATCATATATATATCCTAGACTTAGAACCAGCTATTCCTGTTTGTTATGTATTGGAAAATTGAGACAAATTGTTGCACATATCTCAGTCCTCATGTGCAACACTATACATCAGCTCTCACATTGTGTCACACGATTATCAGTAGAAATGCTGTATTTTTGATATTACCACCAAACAGAGCAGCATTGTAAGCAGGCAGATATTTGTCGTTGTTAACTACCGATTTTCCTACAAGTAACAGTTTCTCACAGTAGAGACATTTGCAGTCACTGGAGGCCATCTTGTAACAGCATTCTTTACAGTTGGGCAAGTCAGTATGATCCCATGATCGGGCTAGATGGGTTAGGTGGATTCATGAATGTGGATAGTATATTGCACTGAGGAAGGAAATGCGAATTCCAATGAAATTGCGTAAATGTTGACATGATCAGGGACAAGAAGATAATGTATTGTCCAATCTTTTTTTTTTCAATATTTGTTTGATCTATTGTCCATCTACTAAATCTCTTTTTTATCTTTAGTTTGCATAAAAATTGATATCTTCTAATCAGAAATACTGATGATAGTGATCCTAAATATTTGAATAAAATGAGGGTGAGAAAGTGGGAGAGATTATTGATGTCAATCTCTTATCTGTCTGCCCTAAATGTAGGTTAAATGGGATTCTTATTCTTATTTCAAGCCACTACTTGTTACCTGTCTTCTTTAAACTTAAAGACCTTCTTGAAGACAAGAAAAAATATTGTTTTTGTCAACAGGCATTATCAAAACAAATACTTATATATAAAGCGTATTAATTTGGATGTGTATTTATTTTTTATTTTTTCGTAAATTAACTTCAATCTCTCCTGATGAATTTTTATTAGTCTTTCATTTTGCCTGGCATATAATTCCAAAAAAATCAAAAAGAAATCAAAAACTGGTCTCGCTGAAAGTATTACCTCATGAAGTGTACTTGAATTATTTAGGATCAACAATTTTCTAATAATCATTGTCACGCTTTTACCTCAAATCTAAAATTGAAGGTTCTGGAGTTCAAAATAAGTTAATCAAAGAATTACAATAAATATGACTTCCTCTTTCCCTACTTCATTGTAAGGATCAGATTCACACCAATAAAAACGCTTGTGTTAAGGAAAAGGAAGAAAATATTATTGCTGTAGACTGAAATCTGTCAGCCATGAAGCTTTGTTGAGATCGTGATTAATTTAATTCTTTCAGATTACCTTTTGAATATTTAATTTCAGCATCAAATTTTGTCTGATTTTTATTCACTTGAATGACTGTTGTTTAATTAAGCTCCTAGACAGCAGTCAATAACATGTTTCTGAAAAAAGCCAACATGTGTCACAGGGATACCAGCTTCAGTAGATTCACAAGATGACACGACTTTATATGGCATCTTACACTGAGTTGTGGGAGTTCTGATGCTGAGAACCTACAGGGAACCGTTCACAACTGGTACTCTAAAACAAAACACATTATTGGATTTGTCATCTCCTATTAGTATTGTTTTCTCTTGGACAAGATGAATTGTTGCAGATTTGTGTGAACTGTCTCTAAGAATGCTGCCAGAATTTGGTCCCATGTGAAACTGCTAGTAGTACTCTCCCTGGCATTCCTGTTGTCTGCATGAGGCTGTCTGTTTGACCGTCCGTCTGCTTCGTGTACGCTCCTGGCCTTATTCACCAGAATGACTATCTCAAACAACACCAGCCATTAAGAATTCCATTTTGTTTTTAGTAGACTGCTCAGGACTACCATTAGTCTGATATAAGACATCTCTTCATTTCTGCCAATGTGATTCCCATTGTAGAATCTTTTTCAATGACAGGGGCAGATAACTCCAAATGCATTTCATTAGCTTGGCCCTATATTGTTATGGTAGGTGATCCTTTGCATTGTCTCTGTCGTGGTTACCCAAAATTATTTTTATGAAAACCATTCAGATTTGTCATTAGTTTGAGTAGTATACTTTATGAGAAACCTGATGCTTATACTTCATTCAACCATGTGTACTGTCATTGTTCAGTCCATGGTGTAAGGAAATCGACAGTGCTGCCATAGTGTAAAACTAGCATGTTGTCCTGCATTTGGACAGTGCGTCCTGTAGTGTTTGATGATTGGTGTTGTGTTGTAGACGGCCGTGATCAGACAGACGGCACTCTCTTGTTATTGGTTCATGTTGTTATACCACCCAGCATGGCGGTGGGGACTGAGGACGCAGGACTAGCAGTGCTGGCAGAGGGGTAGTGCAGGTCAAGGTCATCTCCTTGTGCGGCCCTGACTGACTGACTGACTGACTGACTGTCCGTTATGTTATCACATTATACACCCTTGCATCCAGTATGGAAGTAGTGGCGAGCACTTGATGCAAAATCATGCAAACAGGCATTCAGGAATTTCAATTTTATATTCCAGTCTTGTCAGCAGTTTTTGTTTATATTGTAGTAAAATTCTAAGCATCAGTTCTATATAAATTTGTTTAACACAAACATTTGTTATTACCATTTGCTTTTTTTTGGTGGTAATACACAGGCAATTAATATGGGTAATATTCTTTGGGTATTGAACCATATTTAGCATACTGGTACTATCCCACCAAAACCTCTTTTAAAAACAAAAACATGGACATTAATTCTTCACCTTTCATGATTACTAGCGACATTCCTGATTTTTAAAATTATGCATTGTTAAGAACTTATGCTTTGCAAATAATTTCCATCCCCAATGTTGCACCTCTTTCACTTTGTCCATTATGTGCTCAATGGCTGCTTTCCTACTGCCACCTTGATGGTCACATCCCAGCCGTTACTTAAGGTCAGTGATCTGCCAACACTGCCAGACTGCTCACATTCAAACATATATTCTGAGTTTATTTTTGTAGCACAAAATGATGTTATGTCTGATACCTAAGGCAATATATAGATGTTTAATGTTAGACAGATTGCATAGCCAGGAAGGGTATTTTCCAGAACAGTATTTTGTCAAATTTTATAAAATAAAAACTATATATTGTCAAATATGAAAGTGATGTTATGTTTTCTTTACTTCAGTACACCTGACACTCTTAAACTGGCATAGATTGTTTCAGGGTTGTCTCGTATGTATCTGAGAATTTGTGTTCTTTGCACTTCAAGAGTGAGTTTGGTGTTGAGGAATCTGCTTTGAACAGTGTTTCAGTTGTATCAGCATGTCTGCCTGCATGTGTGGCAGTCCAAAGTGATGCTGGTCTGAGACATTAACCTCTTCAGTGAAACCCACCCACAGTGTGCTGACAAATAAAGAATCATTGGGAAATCTGGGTATTTGAATCAGCAAGTCAAGCAATTGAAGATTCCTTATGCAGAGGTGATTGTACTTGCTGTAAACCAAAATCTATCTTATGGCAACAGAAGTGTTGATCTACAGAGGCTGTTTAAGTGAATGTCTCTAAACTTAAAAGATCCGTGAAGATCTAGGGTAGAATAGGTTTTCAGCAACCCATGCTTGCCTAAAAAGGCGACTTTGCTTGTCGAAAGAGGTGACTAACAGATTGGGTGGTCAGGCCAGCTGACTTGATTGATGCATGTCATCGATCCCAATTGCGTGGATGATATTAATCACTGGATTGTCTGGTCCAGACTGGATTATTTACAGACCACACTCATACAGTTGGAATATTGTTGAGTGCAGCCTTAAACAACAAACCAACCAACCAACCAACTAAACTTAACCAGCATTTGTCCATACAAAACAATGGAATTTTGGATATCCTAGCTAGAATTTTCCCAAAGTGTTCATTTTACAACTGTGTTTTAACAGACTTCCCATTAATATCTGCTGGAACTGGGGGCACAGGTGGCCCAGTCGTCTAAGGCGCTGTGATTCACTGTGCAGAGTTGCGTCCCTTGGGCATGCCAGAAACCTATGATTGTGTGTTCGAATCCGGTTTTCCCCGATTATGTTTCTAGGTTTGTCAGCACCATACCCGTGCTCGTGGGTTTCACCGAAGTAGTAAAGGTCTGAGACCTGCATCACTTCAGGCTTTCCTCCAACATTAAGCTGACACGCCCAACATATCTGTAATACTGTTAAAAGCGGTGGCGTTAAACCCAATTCCCTCACTCACTCTTCTGGAACTGCACTCTTAAGTTCTTAAGTGAGTGATTGAAAGTTTTGACAAGGGCTCTTTCAATATAGCTTTATATGCATTGTAAGAGTTGAATTTCTTCATTGACAATCGATTTGGGTTAAGATTAGATGGTGAGCATGCATTTAGAGGCGGCTTCACAACAGCAGGAAGTGAAGACTGTATGTGTGGCAGCATAATACATGCTTAGAAAGATCAGCCGCAAGGTTAATGGAAGAACCATGCACTTATTGAAGTTGATCAGCAGAACATTTATAATCTTGGGTAAAACAAAATATGAACTGTGCTTGTGTAATATGGATCCAGGTTGGTGTTGACTCTCCTCTGAAAGTGGTGGTCCATCCTTGAATTGTCCAGTGGTCTTTCCTGGTTGAGGACGTGTGTCACGTTGGGGTCCCGGGGAAACTGACAACCATCAAACTTGATTATTATCAAACTCGGATTATTTTCAAACCGTCATGATATGACGAAATATTTCTGTATGCGGCCTAAACCTACATTCATATGCATGTATCCATATGTCATACATTGTTTTTGCGGATGGTGAACAGTCAATATATTTACTAAAAATGAAATGTGTTCAATCAGTTCTATATTGGAAGCGTTCACTACAGTTAACTGAATGCTCCACAATTAAACCGTGTGTCTGGTGTAGGCCATATTGGTGGGGTTAAAAGTAATTCTGACACCTTACTCACATGTCCTTTGTGTGCCAGGAGAAGGACTCGGTATCTTTACCTCCAACACATTGGTCTGGTGCGAATGACCAGTCTTAACCTATAGACACTGCAGCCTGCGTGAAATGAAACATTGGCCCTAAGTTGGATAAATGGCTGCTGATAGGCTTGAAGTAGACTATAAAACAGGGGGTGGCAGACGAGTAAAGTCGCATTTCAATTATCCGATCTATCTATGCAATGACATCAATTTCCTGCAGAGCCACGCATCTCTTTGATGAAGTGAGTGCGTATGGGGCCTGTTTAAACCTTGCTCATGAAAAAGTCTCATTCTTACCACAAGAATTGCTGAGCGGCGTACTAAGTGCATGCATTTATTGGTCAGAAGTGCTTAATGGACACTTTTGTTGATTTGTATAGCAACAGTTGTCTGCTTGAACCTGGAACACTTCACCTTCCTACCGACTTCTCTGAAACTTGCAATGATCACATATTGAATGTTGTTCAATGCCGCTGGTCGCAATATTCCAACAAATATCTCGATAACTTGTAAATGGTCGAGTCTGGACCTGGACACCCTATCCCAGTGTTGTGGAATCTTACGACAATCTAGAGGTACTGGGACCCACTGAATCTGACCCGGGGTGTCCCCATGGGACACGCATCCATCATTGAAGAAGAAAAGGTCATTGTATGGGGATTCATCGTCTTGGGGAAAGGCCAATCATTAACCTTCGTAAACCAACACGAACCGAATGTTTTATCTGGATATCTAGATGCTTCTTGTTTGTACTAAAGATGCTTTCATTGAGAAAACGACCGCAAAAGTAATTGCCTTTTATTTCGGACACTACTTCAACATGTTGTGGTTCTTGTGACCTTTTCCAATAATGGTCGAGCCGCTGTATTTAGTCCCCTGTAAAGACGTCGTCTTCGTGTTGTGTGTTGTTTTACGCCGCACTCATGTATATATGAGGGCGCAGTATAAATCAGTGATTGATATTATGAGCAGCGTGCAACCCAGCATACCCAGTTTTCTTATAGCACATGTATCAATATCAAGACAGACACGCGAAATGATTTCAGTAACCACACCTTGAAGTAAATATACAATACCGCAAGAAACAATAAGGAAACTGGAAATATAGTGTTTCTTAAAGAGCATATAGCTTATATGACATTCAACCTAATCAATTCACATCCTATTCTCAGGCCTCGGAGGGGGCACGGGTGGCCCAGTCGTCTAAGGCGCCGCGATTCGCTGTGCAGAGTTGCGTCCCTTGGGCTCGCCAGTTACCTATGATTGTGGGTTCGAATCACGGTTCGCCCCGATTATGTTTCTGGGTTTGTCAGCACCATACCCGTGCTCGTGGGTTTCACCGAAGTGGTAAACGTCTGAGACCTGTATCACTTCGGCCTTTCCTCCCACATTAAGCTGACACGCCGTGATATGACTGGAATACTGTAAAACACAAACTCACTCACTCACTCACACACTCAGCCCTCGGTACCAATACTCATCCTCTTTTAAGTAGTAGTCGAAATTAAAGACGAGGCTACGTTATGAGATATCTTTAGTTAACTTTATAATACTTTATTTCGGGAGCTATATGTTGATCTGCTAAGAATAAAGATGTCGAAATGAACGGTTAGAATGCAGGATGTGTAAGATGAAGAAGATGATACACACTACTAGGATATGTCTGTACATTAGTTCTGTTCACTTTCCACGTGGCACTATTATCCTCGCCATATGACACGTATTTGTTTTGTCAATAAATGTATTATGATAAAACATTGATCAGACGAATGACCAAATATAATGTTGTTATTTTCAATAACATAACATTTACATCACTTAATGTGAAGCGCAGTTTCCCGCTAGTATTTATGTAATAGTTGCCGACATAAAAACGAAAGCCAGCAATAATTAGAGAATAGTTAACGACCTTCGAGGAATTACGGATTATTTGTCCCGAGTGAATGTAAGGTGTTAATCCCGAATTTTCGGCGAGTTATTTACAGCATCCATTAAATGGACACATATAATCCACAATTCCCAGTTTATTCTATGTATTACTCCTTGACACTTCGGGACCGATAATGAAGAAAAAACTTATGAAATGTCCACTCTACAGAGAAACAGGCAGTCCAGTGTTCAGGGCTCAGTTGCACAAAGCAGTCTTAGCGCTAAGATGATCGTAACTACATACTTTAACGTAGGCTTACAATAGTCGTAGCACTAAGATCGCTTTGTGCAAGTGGGCCGAGGTGACGTAATATAATCAAGTTGTGATGTCATGAACAATGGATGACGTCATGTCGTATTTTGTCTTTACAGTGAAGCATTATGACGTCATATGTCTTCAAGGATGTTAATAAAATGAGCAAGCTTTGAAAATATTTACCCGTATTTAAATAATGATGACTTCCTGAATACAATTCGATCTCGGCAATGTCGGACAAGTCGGATATTTTCGCATTTGTCACAGCGATTAATTGTAACCTTTTCTCCCAATACCCATTGTTAATTTCTCCCACTTTTGGTTGCGATCGTTCGGGCATTGCGTTTATCTGCGTTGCCCAGCTACATCTATGACGAACAACTCACTAGACACTTCCCTCTCAAAAAAACGTCGTCCAATTTATGACGTCATCAAGGTGCGAAAGTATGTGCGAATCTCTAGAAATGACGTCATGCTAGAACAATGTTTAGGAGATAAACATACTGTGTTTTCAATGTAGAATTTGGAACCGAACGCGCAGCGTGAGGCTTCAAATGTTAATTCTTTCGCGGTCAAATCTACAGGTAACCTAGCTCCACATTGAAAACGCAGTATGTATATCTCCATTCTACCATAACTTAACAAAACGCGAACTATTTTGTGTTACCAAATGTATTGAGTGAAGCGGCATGGGTTGAGTCTAGCGTTTTGAGTGGTATGTCGATCTAATTTACGGAATCCTTTAAATAAAATATTTAGCTCTACATGAGCAAGCAGTTTGTTTACACCGTAATACTTCACTCGAACATGTGACAGGTATTGAAAGCATATGAGCACGGCAACTTCGTAAGCTAACATGATGGTGCACCCCTAAAGAAAACTAAGCAAGCCTTGCAAAGTTTTTGTTCTACACCGCGACTCACCATTATTACGTCATATCGCTACTGTGACGCAAAAGATATGACGTCACCGTCGTATGTAGAATAGCTCCAAACCCTCTGTTGTTCCCAAAACTTTAAATACATTCTCTTGGTTGATTTCAACTTTACATTTAGTAACCTATAATTGTAGATATAATTATCTTAATATGCCTACCGACTTTGTAGATGAGTTTGAAAGATATTATAATTATCCACTAAAAGTAATACTTACGCCTCTCATCGCGTTTTACTCCAGTAAGCAAATTGTATTGGATGTAGGAAAATGCGATACCTCTGTCAATACTACTTCCTTAAAAATAGGTTTAAAAACTACTGATTTTTGTTTTTATGGTGAAGAAATAAATGAATGCTTTCAACATACATTTTATTACTGCACTAACTCACCAAGCGTCGGTATGACATATTGTATGAGCGCTTCGTTTGCACGTTTATAAAGCGCGACATACCGGAAGTTCCTGAATTATTGGAAGGGAGATAATTCATTTCAAGATGACGTTCTTGAGAGTGAGTATAAATATCTGACCTCTACAACCTAAATATCTTGTAATTCAACGCTCTCTGATAGAGCAGTAAATAACCGTTGACACAGGAATCGAAACAAAGAGATATCACCCTTTTCAAGTGATATTATGACGATATTTTAACAAATATACCGAAAATACTGAATCAGGAAAACACGACCACTGGTCATGCCGGTGGATGTATGACATTGAACGTGTTGAAAATGAAGTGTTAGTTTTGATATTGCTACTTTTTAGTATCAAACACAGGTTCACAACTCGATGAAAGTGATTAATCTCAATTTCACAGCAGATACACACATGCCAAGTATTTGTCAACTGGCAGCATTCCGAATATTTCACATGCATTTTGGTCACAACGTAGGTTATTATTACTATTAACATGATTAAGTCAGCTTCCTGCACATGTTTTGCGTTTATGATGCAGACTCATGCAGTCAGTATTTTTAGATGCTTCTTCACTAATGATGCTACCTATCTCCCACTTTATTGATGGACCCATGAAGATCCTGGGTAAAATAGGTCTTCAGCAACCCATGCATTACTGACTTGGTCGATGCAGGTCATTGTATACCAATATACCAATGTTCATGATGTTAATCACTGGATTGTCTGGTCCAGACTCACTTATTTACAGACCTCTGTCATATAGCTGGAATATTGCTGAGTGCGGTGTTAAACAAACAACAATCAACACCTTATGGATGGGTCTATCTTGCTATCACAATCCTAAACCTTGCATTAGAGACCATATAATAGATATCTATTATATGGTCTCTGCTTGCATCATGTGCATGGGTCTGCTTTTCTATAGTGCTAATGAAATGTCCCAAACTGCAATAATTCCCTCATCATTTACCTAAAACATTTGCCAATATGCTGTACTGTTGCAAGTGGTGTCAAACCGATTTGACTACAACTGATATGTAATAATACTAAAACTTCAATATTTTGCGTAGCACTTTCGAGGGCGCCATCTAGGAGTGCTGTGTGTAGCAGCAGGGGTTCCTGCCCTTGCCATTCCCACTGTCCATGCAGGCAGTACTTCAGAGGGCAACAAAGTCAAGATCTCCCAGGTAAGACAAAGTTCAGTTGCAGGGCTAGCACAAGGGCAAGAGTCCATCTGCAACGTTTGTTAATATGTAATAAGCCAGCATTAATACTGTTTATCATTGTGTTTATCAGAAGTGCTCATGGTGATACTTGTGACATCAAGGTGGCTGGGGTTATTGGGTGTGCATGAGCTCCTATCAGTGAGCTATCATCTCTACATTGAATAAGTCAAGTCTTTTTTTTTAAAGGTAGCCTTCTGCATCAGTTCATATTTCAGCAAGTGCCACTTTAATATGAAAGCATTTTTTCGACATAATTTTGTTTTTCAGCTTCAACCTAAATTAAGGGCAAAAGGGTTTATAAATGGGATCTAAAATACATATGTTATTTTTGGTTGATTCAGTAAATGTGGTCATTGTGTTTACAGTGGCACAGACATATTATTGATGCTGCACGTATATATAAATCATCCATAATTTGCTGGTCCGAAAACTATCTGTGTACTGTGGGACATCATTTGCAATGTATCAATTAGGTTATAACAACAAGGATGTATAAGAGCTGTGGAGAGGATATGGAGGGGTTGAATCCCATTATCATGCATTTAAAGCATAGCCAAAGTGTTGAAGTCTGCAAATTAATGCAATTGTCAAGATATTCCTGTTCATTCAACACTTCAGTTGCAGTTACTTGTCACACTAAAATGTTTAGTAATTTGGGGTGGAATACATTGGCTAGAGGAATCTGTCATGTAACTTCCATCCCAAGTCTCTTGGTACATTTGCTCAGATATGCTTCAAACACACATGGCATTAGTAGCAATGCCTAAGCCTTCTTCAATCCTTACTTCATTCCACGTTATCCTGACAGTATTCTCTCACACACTTCTCTGCCACTAAATCCTCCAACAAATTATTAAGTACCTTGTGAACTCAACATCTGATGCCAAGAGCAGTTCTCACCACATCGGCATATTCCTTACCACTCACGTTTGCGGAACAGCACGAGAGTTGCCCAATGGCATTGTGACCTTAGCCCTAGCGTCATGTGACACCATGGCTACCTGCAACCTCCCTAAGTTGTCCGTCACCACTTCATTACTTTCTGTAACCTTTTAGGCACGACTTCATACATTTCCACTCAGTTTAACATTGTGGATGTATGTCTGTCGGTTGACTTGTCAGCTAACAATCCAAAGGTCACAAGTTCGAGTCCAACACATTCTCACAGAACTTGGTACCAACAACGGAGATCGTTCTCACAGGAATTGTTTCTACTAACTTCTAAACATGCTAAATGCACTCCAGCATATGGAATGTTCTGACTATACAACCTGGTGTGTTCCAGCTCCCTATGTATGATGTCTTAGAGACGAAGTGCGAATACACCTATAAAGAAGCTCCACCATCTAGTCTCCAGGAGTCTATCTCCACTGTCAGACAGGCAGTGTGGGACTATCTAGACTCTATAAAGGTAGGTACCTGTAGATCCGAGGTAGAATTGGTCTTCAGCAATCCATGCTTTCTGTAAAAGGCGACTATGCTTGTCGTAAGAGGCGACAAATGGGATCGAGTGGTCAGGCTCGCTGACTTGGTTGATGCATATCATCATATCCCAATTGCGTGGATTGCACTGCAGGCCTCAAGGATTACAGTTTTATCAAGCCATATGTCTAAGTTTTTTTTACAGGTAGCCAGTGGTAAAATCAAGATGTCAAGCCAATATTGTAGGTTATATTGAAATTATCTTTTATCAAATAACTATTATATGTACAAGTCATAGCACTAGTCTTGGAATTGTATAATTAGTGGAAATTGTACATGCTGTACTTGAGTTTTGTTATTTGTGACTTGAACAATGATGCAATTTATGTTACTAAATTATATAGGTATATCCTTGCTTATCCAATAAACTATCAACTAAAATAAAATATGTATTACATTTATATTTATGCCTTTCGGTTCATTGTTGACTTTAGGAGGAATTATTTGCAAGTATAATCAGTAGCAGACATGTTTATTTTTGTGTCTACATACGTGTAGCAATAGAATTTAGTTGCCACAAGATATTTTTGATGGTAGTCATTTGAATTTAAGACAGTAGACAAATTGAAATTAAGGTCGCATTGGCCACCGTTATAGTCGCAACCTTGAGGCCTGCATTGTATTCCAATTGTGTAGATTGATGCTCATGACATCAGTCACTGGATTGTCTAGTCCAGACTCAATTGTTTACAGACCGCCGTCATGTAGCTGGAATATTGCTGGGTACAGCGTTAAACAACAAGCAAACAAACTATCATTTATAAAGGTAGGCCTAGTGGGGCCCTGTGGGATATCTGGGTTGAACAGTGTCCCAAGCAACTTACACTTGCAGTATGAGGTGTCTAATTGGGTGGGGGAGTAAGGCTCTGTTACTTTGTTGATGGTGTGCCATCCTTCCCTGACAACATGGGGTATTGCTCATAATATTAACCACTGATTTGTCTGGTCCTGACTCGATTCTTTACAGCATGCTGTAGCTGGAACAAACAAATGGGTCATGATGTTACTATTTTGTTAATACAGACACAGCAGTCCCATCTTGTTTCGGTTTTTATCCAGTGAAAATACACTCACTGGCAAGAGAGTTTCTGTTTGATGTTACTGATTTGAGAGATGGAGATGGTGGCGTCGCTTCCTAAACGAAGCTGTGGTAGCGAATGGGTCCAGGGTATTTATCACAATAGAATGGAGATGTAATACACTGGATCACTGGAGATGACACTCGAAAGCTGGTAATGATTTTGCTAAGTGGCAAAAACGTTTTGTATGAGAAGGGTGTCAAATGTATAATTTCATTGACAAAAATATTATGTTAAACATGCAGTATGATCATTTACACTACTCATTCTAATTATCATAGTTACATTTTCCAGATGTTGATGTCGTATCCCTTTCGTTCGCAAACATGTTCTGACCGCCTCTGTGGTCTACTGGTAGAGCGGAAGGTCATCCCCGGCCACGTCATACCAAAAGAGGATAAAAGATGGTACTTGTTGTTACCCTGCCTGGTGCTCAGCATTAAGGGCTTAAACAAGGACAGGTCGGCTCGGAGTCAGTATACTGCATCTGAGTAGAGTGCCATGTTAAACAGTGGCATGGAATTTCAGGGGGCGACCACTTTGAAATCGGTATTAGTCTGGACTAATACAAGCAGCCACACAAACGAACGCACAGACGCATGCACGCACGCACTCAGTGGGTATGCATGCACCCAATAATCTTGGACATGACACTAAACCCCATTTCTCCTCTCCTAAACAGTCGCAGACATAACGTGTTAAACCTGGCTAAATATGACCTTCCTTGTTCCAGGACACAACTAGTTCACTGAAAGACAAGTTACAGGTTGGCAAGGCACACACACTGGGTAGGTTACTACCATAGTTTTTCCTCCTCTTCTCAACACTGCATGACAAGAAAGACCTTGTGGGTTCGAATCCCAGTTTGCCACACTTATGTTTTAGTTTTGTCAGCACCATACTGGTGGTCGTGGGTTTCACCAAAGTGGGATATGACTGAGACCTGCATCACTTTGGGCTTTCCTCCCACATTAAGCTGACATGCTGTGATATAATTGGTACACAGTTCAAAGTACATGTAGTTAGGTTCAACCCAACTCACTCAATCAAAAAGAAAGACAATTTTATTTGTTGAAATTTCTCTGTTTGGCATATTCAGGCCAGGCCAATAGTTTTGCTTGCTAGCCTTCAATAGATTTTCACGGTTAATATTCCAAGAGGCAGGAAGCAAAAGACAACAAATACAAAATATTGTCAAAGTTGATTTGAGTTTTATTTCAGCCTTTAAAAAAGAAGAAGATGTTTATCAATATGAATGTCATTAAAAGTTCAAAGTTCAAGGTTTTCAAATTATTTTTTAGTTTTTTTAGGCAGTTATTAGGTTTTTGTAGTCTTGTCTGTAAAGATATAGTACTGTGTGACCTTAGCGTATGTTGGAGGGGTGGTGGGGTAGTTAAAGCATTAGGTTTCCCACATGGGTACAATGTGTGAAGCCCATTTCTGGTGTCACCCGCAGTGATGTTGCTGGAGTATTGCTAAAAGCGGCGTAAACAGACATAAGCCATATGTGTTGGAGTAACCTTTCTCATGTGTGCTGTTTCAGATTTTGTCACCTATATACAAGAGGACCCCAGCATTCTGCCCAAGGCTAGTGTTATCACAGTAGCAGGACTTGGAGGAGTCGTCGCAGGCTACAGAGGTAGGTACAACGTGAACAATACTTACTGTACTCCCTTAAAACATACTGATAAAAAACTAGAACATGTACCAGACAAATAACTATCTTTTTAGCCAATTTAATATGTAGACAGGTCGTTGACCCATAGTTCATGTTCAGTCACTATTTGGGATGAACATGTACTTGACTAAAACTCAAAATGTGTCATCTGAAATATCTTTACAAGCTATCTAGAAAAACTGCTTCTGACGAAGAACCCTGTATATATTTCTCAGTTGGGGTTAACTACAGTGTTTGAAATAATTTTAAAGCCCCAAAAGACAGTCGGACGGGTCACCCATACATGTTGCCAGCCCATCTTCAAAGTAACCTGCCCGCATTCAGACATTTTTAATATTGAAAAATTGCAAAAATAAGAGACAAGTCGTGTCATGATTCAGTGGAAATAATGCAAACAATAATGAGGAGTTACAATAAAACTGAATACGATAGTAGTCTTAAAAGTATCTGCCAGACAGTGGGGCAGGTGGAGGAAAATGTCATGCAGCCCAACGGGAAGACGGGCAGGCAGGCAGTTATTTCGGACATTGGTTAACCGACATCCGAAACTAAACATTCTGAAGTTTTCTTTTACTGTCTTATTCCCATAAGAAACAGATGATAGGCAGTTAGACGACATTACATAGCTGATGTGAAACCAGAGGCTTTTCCCCATCTTAAAGTAGATTTTAATAAAATCTGAAGTTTTCATTTCTATTATACACAATCTGCAACTGAGATTGAGAATACTGTTCTTAAGAAATCAGCAAATGGTCAGCCGCCAAAATTACCAGGGTGGTATGTTTAGAAATGGATGCCGTCACTGTTCATGTGTTGACCTGTGTTGACCCGTGACAGGTGGATTCCTACGGAAGATCATCCTAAGTGGAAGTGCAATGACTGCAGCCGCTGCACTGTGTTACCCCAATGAGGCTGTTGCCATGACAACACAAGCATATGATGAGGTGTATGGCTATGCTCGGTCATTGTGGGAGGGGGACTGTGAGTACTCGAGTCTTTCTACCTGATAATAAATATTAAATAAGTACATTTCTACCTCACCTGAGTCAAGACCGCTTAGGAACCTAGGACTGTGACATATTTTGCTGACAACCCTATTTTATAGAACATTTTTTCTCACCCACCCACCCACTCCCACCTTTTTTTCTTGCCCCCTCCCCCATGAATGTCATCGTATCCCAATTTCATAGATGTGCTCATGATGCCAATCACTGGATTGTCTACCCAGACTCAATTTACTGACCATCATCAAATAGCTGGAATATTGCTGAGTGAGGCGTAACACAACAAACAATCATGCTCCCCCCCATCCCTTTAATAAATGAAGAAATAATGTTCAAATTTATAACTCTCCTATTTGAAAAGTAAAGAATTTTAATATTCTTGTTGTCATCTTATTTTTTTAAATATTTAAATGTAGTGTAAGTGTTTAGTCCTCAGTTTTTATGTTGAAATTATTTGAAAAGCAGTGCTGACGGCAACTTTTTATTTAGTATCAGTCATTGTAAGCTGAGGATACTTCTCCAGGTGAAATTGGCTTTGTATTGGTGTGCATCATTTTTTTCAGCTTCCTCATCTGATTCTGGCTCAGCACAACCGGTAAGTTGGAATCAGGGGCTCAGAACACAGAGCAATCCGAGGGAAACAACTCTCAACAATCAATACAACTATCTTACAGATCCTATGACCCTTGTGGATGGACCCTGGATAGAATTTGCCCTCCCCCTGCCTTTCTTGTCATAATAGGCAACTTATTGAATTGTGTGATTAAAAAATCAGAGTTCTTATGTTTATTTCACCTTAACTGACCGTAGACATTTAATGAAAGTGGAAAGAGGATTGTCAGATGTCCTGCGAAGTTTCGATTGTGTCTCTTTTAAGATTGATCAGTAACTTCACAATGTAATCTTCACATAACATTTCTTGTTTTCATGAAGCATGAGCTACAGAAATATGACATTCTTTTCCATATTTTAACTTGTATCTAAATCAGTGTTCATTATTAAAGTCAGGAAAATAGATTATTTTTCTCAGCACTCGCCTGAATGAAGACATGAAATTGTCAAAAACAAGACATAGCTTCTCTCTTGAGTAGTACCTTTGACATTGGGCAGATTTTGTTGTGCGAGTGGTTGAAAGGAATTGTTTTTCATGTATAATTGGAAGTGAGATATAAGTTATTACATGTATTCAAGATAAATATCCTATTTATTCTGTAGTTTCCCCAGGGCTGTTGGGTAGCCTAGTGCTTAAAGTATTCATAACAAAGTGCAAAGCCCATGGTGACCCCTGTTATGATGCAATATTGTTACAAGCTCACTCACTCATTGTGTTTGACCCAGTGTGTCTATCAATCGCTGTGCTGTAGTGCTGTTTATGACCACATATTGATTACAGGTGAAGCCAGCCAGTGAATCCAGTCAGGTGAAGGTGGACGCAAGCCTGCAGGATCACGGGCAGTCCAAGGCCGAGGACAAGGACCTCTACACCACCAGGGGGAGCAAGTGATGACAGCCACAATTAATACTCTGTAGTGATGATGTGAATGTATATAAATATGTACCATGATGTACAGTGTATCAAGTTGAGTCTTGTGTTTGACATGGTGCATCTTCCCGAGGCAAGAGAGTTAACTGACTATGAAGTCCAGTTTCAACCCAATCAAAATCACGCAATGAAATCGAAATACGGTTCGTAAACTGTCATGCAGATTTCGGTCGATTGCAGTATTTGCACAGCATGTACACCGCCAACTAGTTGTCAGCAGACATTTTCCAAACCTTTTCATGGTTTTAATCAAGGTGCTCCCGGGATTTGATGCACTTCGCGATGTAAGACCCGTTTTATCACAATATAGATCTTGATTATCGATCAGAACGTCTTGACTGGGCGCCGCCATTTTGTTTGAAACAAATGCAAGTGATGGAATCTGATTGGTCCATAGGAGAGGCTAAGAAGGGACATAACTCATACTAACCACTGGTGGTGCTACTATCAAGCCCAGGATTTCCAGCAATGCAACTCTCTTGCCTCGGGAAGATGGACATGGTGCTGTGCCTTCTTGTGTTATAGGGGGCTACAATTTGCCATGAGGAGGCATGAACCCTGATAGTGGAGTTAACACTTTGATTATGAGTCTTGATTTGTCCACACATATCTGTGCTCATTGGTTGCACCAAGTGGTAAAAGTCAAGAGCTGGAACACTGTGATCAAACTGAAAGACAGTTCATGTGTTGTTGATGCCATCTCGCTCACTCATATGTTGCCATTGATGAAGACAATTATAAAGCATTACATGAATTCATTGCATTGTTTTATTTTTCAATAAATATAGCTCTCTCAATGAATATGTTAAATAACTTAACACAACACAACATTTGAAATAAAGACATGAACAAGACATTTCCAAGTGTAACATACTATCACAACATAACTCGTTATAGTAAATGCCCTGGACATACTGTCTGCAGGAAGCTCTCCACAACTGTAGTGGGCGTCTTTCTGAAGATGAGACAGTTAACATTCTGATGAAATGCATGTTCAGGGCTCGTATGCTTAAAGCATGGCCCTGGTCATGGATAAATCATATGATGCTCGTCTTGATTTAAATGAGACGTGGAAGAGTTGTTCTGCAAGTGATATTCGATAGGGTCATACTTATATAAGTGAACAACGATTCTTATCTTACCTTATCATGGTTAGTTAATTTTATTATCTGGAATGTTTGCCAACAATCCCAATTGAATACAGTGAAATAGACCCATTACAGTCCAAAACAGGTTTGGATTAAGAATCATTGGTACAAGGTGATGTCCCTTTGGAGATGCTCAAATATTTAATCAGAACTCATGTTGAAGGCAGAATTTCCAGACTGTTTCATGGGGTTACACTGTATCCAAATTATATCTTCAACTTGAAATGTTTGATACAATGGGGAAATGATCTCGGTAACGTGCATGGTTCAGTAATACCTATTCTGAAACAATGTAGATGTCCTTGCTCACTCAGTCATCCAACATGTATATATACCTTGTCCAGTGCTACAACATGTTACATGCACACCTGTTGAAACTCGGGGATATCTCATGGTGTGAATGGAAGAAAGACTGATTTTGTTAACCCATACAAATTTCATATGAACAGATATTTTTTAGCTAGACAAATACTGCAGCAAATAGGAGCATTTTGTAATTTAGTTTGTAAGACATTCAAGCTAGGTCGACTGCGCAGATCTATTTAGGAGTATGGAGTGTACACACACTGATAATCAGGCAATAAGCTACTGACACAGACAATAGAGTAGAGTCAAAGTATGGAATAATGTACTATGGCAGATCATTGGGAAATATACTTGACTGACACATAGAGTATAGTTAACTAGACATCCTACTTGGAACAATTAACACAAGACATCTGCAAGAATATAGAACATCTGATAAAGTTGGCTTAGAATTGGAGAACAGGAAGTACCAGTACACAAGATATGTTAGTAAAATGCTACATGCTGTATATGATTTTTGAGAAAAATAGTAAGCCCATCAAAGAAGGAGCTGTTTGTGTGGTATTGAGATTCAGCTTAAATTTGTTTGTGTGGTATTGAGATTCAGCTTAAATTTGTTTGTGTGGTATTGAGTTTCAGCTTAAATTTGTTTGTGTGGTATTGAGATTCAGCTTAAATTTGTTTGTGTGGTATTGAGATTCAGCTTAAATTATTAACCCTGAAAATATTTTCAAGTTAAGAAAATGATCCTGAACATGATACATGATGTATTTTTTAATTTTTAAAACAATAATTGGTTTTGACAAAGAATGAATGAATGAATTCTGAATGTTTTTTACCGTCTTTTTAAAGATGGAAATCAAGTTTAATATTCCATATCTCATAAATTTTAACAACTTTCCATGCAAATCGAGATTTATGTGGTATGATTTAGATTGAAATGTTTCTGCGACAATGTCGTACACAAGAGGTAAACACTAAACAGCGATGTAAACCGACCACTACATCTAGCCTCTAACAATGAAACTGGCCAACAAACGGTAACAAACAAACATATCTTCTGTCACATCTGTCGTATGTCCACCGTCCTTGAGACGGTCATTATTCTAATACAACACTCAACAGCCTCGAACATTTAGTTTTTTTCATTAGGAATGGTTATGAAGTCTGCATGTTTGACCATACAAAATAACCTGGTGTAATACAATTGTAGAATGATGTCTGGATTTAAAATGATCGAGCAACCCTTTGGAACAAACTTTATACCTCATGTGCAATATGCTCCATATTATCTGACTCGCCACAAGCTAAATTCCTATACCATGTCCCTATGAATGGATATAAAAGCACAACTAACCCTTCCTTATAGAGTAGAAGTAAAGGTAGCAAGTGTGTTTGCACCAAGCATCCGATAACTCCAGACAACATCTAGTTTTGTCGCCAAACATTAAAGATAAATATGAAGCATTGGTTTTATCATTCAGAACATTTTGTTCCACACATGCATTGATAAAGCTAGATGGGGTTATGATTTTAATATCACAGACAAAACTTGAATTTGCAGAGAGAAAAAACAAAAACGTGTAACTGTAAATTTGGATGATAACACAAGAATAGTACAGATACACCTGACTTGTGACAAGACATTCACAATCATGCAGGTATATAGATATATTTGTAGCCAGTGAGACAGTGAGGACAGGTTATATACCAAGCATTTCAAGTAAGTGGGAAAGTGGAGATTGACCAAGACTCTTCCTTCAGGTGGCTTTGCTAGTTTGATGCTGCTTAAATATATTTTGTATTTGACGTCAGTTGTAGCAGATACAGCACCTGGGCTAGTTTTGGGGCTGCTTGTCGTCCTGTTAGGTCTAACAGCCTCTGTGGTCCAGTGTTTGAGCATCTGCCCGGAGAGTGGAAGGTCGGGGGTTCGATCCCCATCCGCATCATACCAAAAGACTTGCATGCTCGTCGCTATATAAGTGCAATAATCTTGGATGTGACGCTAAACCCCATGTCATCTCATCTCTTTTGAGGTCCACAAGTTAGTACGGCTTAACATCACTCTTAGCACTCTTTCAGCGATCACAGAAGAAAATACCAAGAATACACTTCACACATTGTACCATGTTGGGAATCAAACCCAGCTCTTTGTGTGATGAGTCTATGCTTTATCAACAAAGCTACACTCTAGTTCTCTTTACAAGGGGTAAGCTTCTAGTTTGGTTTTCCTGCTCAAGAGTCATGAAGTGGGACAGTGATGAATGACCTCAAACACTGCATAACAATCTGATACCTAGGAGATCATATTGAACAGTTTGACAATGACCATAGTTTGTTTAGATGGAAATGTCCACTTATACACCCTGTCACTTCTGTCATACATGGACGTGATAGTTCAGCAATTATCAGCTCAGAAAACCTTAGAAATGATATAAACAGAGGTACAAGTTTGTTCTCAATTGAACCTGACCCCGAGGTACAATATGCATCTTCAAAAATCAAACATTTATCCTTGGCACAACACTTGACTTCAGTGGTTGACGCCATTGGCCATAACCACCTAGTTCTTAGCTCTTTACTTGTGATTTATGTAAAATAATTACATTTGGGGAAAATAGCCCCTCTAGAATTTCACTGTCTTGTTCTAACAGACTCGTGACAGTGGTTAACCCTGTTATTTATCTTAACATGAGACGGTGTATAACAGTTTTAGAAAGTTCCATAACAGGTCAAGTTGGAATGGTCGACTGAGAAGGTAAGGGACAGATTTTTAGATGGACCTTTCAGTATATTGGAATCGAAGCTGTACTGAAACCTATTTTCATTCTAAAATGTTTCAGCTAGGTAAATTCTTAGATGGTTGTAATCTTGACATTATTAGACATTTAACTAAGTTGACACCTCGAGAAGATTTTGCCTTGGAAATATATTGATGTTAAGTATCTACATAACTTCTATATGACAACAAAACAACTGGAATCACAGCCCTTATTAAGTAGTATATGTGTTGGTTGGCAACAGAATTTACCCTAAATTAAAACTTTACCCACCCATAACCCCTGATATGACACTGTAAGTGTACATAGATTGTAATTTCCTGGGAACATAATGACTTTCTAAATGGTCATTTCGTAACTTAAAATTGCACTAAAGAATATTGCACTGGTTTGATGGGGGTAGTGATCCATGGTCACAGAGGACCAGAAAAGATATTTGGCTATGGGTTTACAAGATATGGAAGCTGTAACTGTCCCACTCAGTCACTGTCATAATCGTCAAAGTTCTCGCCCTGGACAATCTCGGATTGGTGGTAGCGCCCTCTGTTGGCGAAGTCTTCGTTGTCTGCCGTCAACTGAGCTGCAAGGGTTTGAACGGCAGGTGTCTTTGGAGCCACAATGATGTGTTCTTGGGGATCTGGTCCGCGTCTGAAATGTGGTATAGTTACAGGTTAGGATAAATTGATTCTATGCAAAATGAGGGTTAAAATGTTGTAGCTATTGTGACTTGTAGAGCATAGGTGGATCCAGAGGGGTGGTGGGGGGGTGGGGGGGTCCCAGGCCCCTCCCACAACCCACCCTTTTTGACAACCCATTGTAGTATCTTGGAGGCAGTAGTATGTTGTAGGCAGAGAGGATTTTGATATTTTGGACCCCCCACCCTCCTTTTAAAAATCCTGGATCCGCCATTGTAGAGCTACGATTGTCCCCTGGAGCCTTGGATGTATATGAACATTCCAGAATTGATTTGTGGAGCATTTTTCTAAGAATTCAAAGAAACATTACAAAGGGGTGCAACATTTGTTGCCAAATAGGATGTAGAAGACAGCACAAATTGTAATGAATACAATATCCTCACCTGCAACATCTAAGGATGCCATTTTTAAGCCATTCATACAAGTTGAACTCTGCAATACCTGTAGGCAAGAGAATATGACATTAGAATTTGTCAGCAATTCACATCATTCATCAGGGAACCAATCTCATTATACCGAGATCTCTAACTGGGATATGATCCTCTCTGCATGAAGATCTGGTGAGATAGGTGAACCATGAGTGAACTTTGACAATTTATATGAAGAATTTATGGTTCTTGAGCCAATCAGATGTCATATTTCTAAAAGATTTAGCTTACCGGTAATTTATTTAAAACATTGATTCTGAAATTTCAATCTCAGCAAACTAAAACCCACACAGAACACAAATACACCTTCAATATTACACACAATATGGTGTACATGCCATGGCGCTCAGGAACAACCTGAAGAATGAAGCTTTATGTTTCTGCAATTTGAATCCCCTGACTCCCCTGAGTTATCACCTGATAAGTAACCCCGAGTCTTCGAGTGTTACCACCTGACTCACCTACCTGAGTTATCACCTGATAAGTAACCCCGAGTCTTCGAGTGTTACCACCTGACTCACCTGAGTTATCACCTGATAAGTAACCCCGAGTCTTCGAGTGTTACCACCTGACTCACCTGAGTTATCACCTGATAAGTAACCCCGAGTCTTCGAGTGTTACCACCTGACTCACCTGAGTTATCACCTGATAAGTATTCCCGAGTCTTTGAGTGTTACCACCTGACTCACCTGGGAAGTAGCCGGGGCTAGAGTGTCCGATGTAGAAGTACACGGCGAGGAAGGCGGTGATTTCCACGAGAGCGTACACCCACTGGATGGAGAACATGATGATCATGCAGCCAAGGGTCTGAAACAACAAAACTTCTTGAACCACCCAACACACACAAATGACAACCGGCCTCAACAATGCAGCATTTTCAGTTATGAAAAAATATGCATATGACAGTAATGGGCAAGAATTGACTGGATTGGCAAAGAGGCAACAATCATCCAGTTAAATTATTTACACTTTTGCTGATGGCAAGTGACAATTGCAGAAGAGTTGCTTCCCTTCCATTGAGAAATTTAACGTCGGAGAAGTATAATTACTTTTATAATTTTTTATAGTCATTTTTTAGAAATCAGGGAACAATCAGTTTGGCAGATCTGTAATACAAGAAATACTTAGTCTGACCTAATGGAAGTCATACACAACCAAAGGATTGTGTATGATAAAACTTTAAAGAGCAAGTGCAGAAACACAGCTTTCAATGGCTTTTATTATTTACAAATACTCATCAATGTTTTGTCTTCACACTCAATGATGTCAAGATTGTTTATACAAATTGGGTTTTGTTGAAGTACAGACACCCACTTTCTTCCTGTGATGCACACCACTCTTGTGCTGATGAGAGCCACAGACACACTGCCATGCATCACTCATTCAGATTCCCCCTACGGGCATCGTACACCATCGTCCTCTACAGAGATGCCAACCGTAATGGGACATTTGGAGTCATCAGTGGGGTATCAAAGAATAGGAAAACAAGTAATGTTGATTGCACCTTTCCTGTCTGCACCCACAAAGATTGATCACTAAAATAACTAGAGTGTGTTGTAACAAAACAACCGATCAGAGACCTCTTATCACTGAGTAATGGATATTTTAACACTATGTGAATTGAAAGCAAGACTGATTAGTCAGCATTGTCTCGCTGTAGAATGCTTCATGTCAACAATGCATTTACACGATATTTTATACATGTAAATCATTAGTGGATATAATGACAAAAATCTTAATTTCATGGAGGACTAGCTTAATTTTAGGCTAAAAATCGTAACTATTACACCCAAATTCATAATGGCTGGAATCTGTCTACAAGGCAGCATGGTGTGGAGGCCATGCATCAGCTTCATACAACTGACCCCTTTCATCCACCTGCACTCACCCCCAGGAGAGACAGCCATCTGTTACACAGCACGGAGTACCACGACCTCGGCTGTTTGGTGATCTCGGTGTTCGGCTGTTTCTTGACACCTGGTCACACAACAGATGGTGTTAATGAGGACATCCCGCACAACAAGTCGGGAGATAACACCACCGTAATTAAATTTGATGAGTATAGGGAGACAGAGAGAGGATCGGACAGCTGCACCGTGTGGCAGTATCACAGTAGGTGTAGTAAGAAGGCATCATGGGCAGGATCAGGTGATGCTGGGCCAACAGGCAGCCATGAACATCAAACTATCTTCTTGATTGTTATCTTCTCTTTTATCACTTTTTCCCGTATTTTCAAACACAGACAAATATCCCGGCATGTCAGATTAAGTTTGGACGGAAGTCTGAAGTGTGTGGGTTGTAGGATGCACAATGGCAGGCCTGGTGTTGTAGGGTGCTCACTGAGGCTCACAATCCAGACAATCTGGTATTCAATAAACAGGCTTAACCTACAAAACTAGGGGCCCAGAGGACCCACTACTACAAATTTCAAGGGTCCTTACAGCGTTAGAAATTGGCATTATACTATAGTCCTTACCAAACTGCCCAATAGTAAAGGTATCCTAAGGACTAGTAGAAATTGGCCCATTTTAAGGGTTTTGCTATATGTTATCATTATAAGGACTAGTGGACAAAAACTGTTAGTTTCTAACCCTGCCTTACAGGAAATATGAGTGTCATGTTAAGAAATGAAATGGTGCAGTGTACTGAACTGAAGATTTTATAATTACTTTAAATACAGGACCTATATATTTCTTGTCAAGACGTTGGTACAATGAGAATTTTTGTGCGTCCCTCTGGATGCATTATATATATTTTTTTCTGTGTCCATTCTGCACATTTGTGTGTACTGGATGCACGCTGCTGCGTTGTGTAAAACACTGCACATGTCCAGGCACAGTGCCACTTCACCCTACATTTCTTACCTTGATGCGGCTGGTCAGTTTGATTAACCTGTACATGTGATAGTACAGACAAAACATTGTTCAGTATACAATCTCATTAAAATCAGATCTAAGTTCTCGCTGCCACTAAAAAAAGATCTGAGGACATCCCATTACGGGTCACGTCAGAACGACCTTTCGCCACCTTTGACCGACCAAATATCAGACAATGAGAAAGCAGCTTTCTCGAGCTTTACGGCACTCGTTTTAACCTGGTGACTTCCTTTTCAGACTACGCTTGAAAATTTTGAAAACTGAACTAACGAACAATCAGGAATGACTAATATATGGTTGCGATTGTATGGCAGTGCTTCCCACATACTGTGCAACGCCTCCCCCGTTCAAATGTTTATCCCACGGAAGCGAGAGACAGACGATAATTTTGACGGAATCAGTCGTATGGGCCGTTACTGTCGTTTGGAATACCCCGTGTTAACGTTTTCGAGGTTGCATGATTAGAAAACACATTCCGACTGTCACTTTCATGATCTGGTAAGTGACGCTTTCATTGGTCGGATGAAAGGTCGTTCTGACGTGACCCGTAATAGGATGTTTAATGAGATTGTTCAATATATTGCAATATTTTCTTTTGAAAATAAGTCCTTTAAATCAATATTTTCAAGTGTTACCACCTGACTCACCTGAGTTATTATATTTGTTTTCATGCCAGAATGAATTATACTATCATTACATTATAGTCTCATAACCTAGTCGGCATGTTTAGACTGCTTGTATTATCAGTGGACCTGATACCTGCCTCTCAAGCTCTGACATCTTGAGTACCTCGTTTCCAGGACTTACCAATCAACTGGGTTGTGTCTCCTGAATCTTCCCCCTTTTCTGATGTAGCATCAATCGAGATCTTCCTCTTCGTGGCATCAAAGTCCGCCTCAGGTGTTGTGGCATTACTACCGCTATTAATACTGGTTTGCCTCACCAGGTGGTGCTGGCCCCGCTGAGTCAGCCGCTCGGGAAACAGTTTGTCAAGGTCATTAGCAAGTTTTTCGAAAGAGTCTTTATGAGTGGTGACATCAATAGATTTCCCAGTCGCCCCGTACCCAACACTTCCGTTAAGCAGTTCACTGTCAGCACTGTACTTGCGCACCTTATCACCGTACCCAGCACCGGTGTGCGTGAACCGGGCATCTCGGTCTTTGCGCCGGTCGTAGCTCATGGCCAGAGCGAAGTAGGAGTAATCTATAGATGCGTATGTCAACATAAACGCCGTGGTCACCACCGGTGCCAGGGTGTTCACCTGCCCCACACAGATGAACAGCAGCACCACCAGGGTTATCACGATCAGTGCATACACAGGAACCTTGTTGGGCCCTCGCTGGAACAAATAACATGTCCTTTAAAGAAAGAAATCTTGTTTTAAGAAGTTAGACTGATAATGGAATATTCGTGCAGTTGAACTGACGAAGGCTGTGAAATATCCCTCACAGAGGGAATGTGTAAATTAGTTTGAACATTATATGTTTACTTCTGAGAACCCATTGCACAGGTATGGAGCTGACAGGCCAAGGATCAGTATCCTGGTCGGACTAAGGGACATAACTCTGCACAGCAAATTACTATGCTGTAGTGCATGGCCCGTTTCTGCCCAGTACCACAGTATCTTATCACTGCAGCCATATCCTCAGGAAAACAAAGTTGGTCGTTCAAGCAAAAGTCATAACTTGCAACAAGTCAAAATATAAGTAATTTTTATTCTTGTTTGTTTGCTGCTTTTACACTTTAATCAACAGCTGCCTGTTAATAATCAAATTTTGACACGACCAAAAAGTGATTGACATTGAGAGCAACGATCCATGCTATTGGGGCACAATGATACGCGGTCAACCAAGTCACTGAGCCTGATTACATGATCCATATTCCTGGAGACCGAGGTTACTTCGGATTTACAATGCACTTTCTCCCCTTGTATAGAATACTATGATATGTCAAAGGTGAGACTCTGATCTGGTTTGATGGTGAGAGAAGTATAAAGTGACATACTTACCCCATGACCAAGTATTTTGATAATTGGTATAACATTTTCATTGGCTATAGACTGGAGAATCCTCGGCGGCCCGTACAGACTTCCCATACAGGACGATACAGAGGAGAGGTAGAGTCCGGCCAACCACAGCACTCCCACAACAGACACCTGCAACAAGACACAAACATATCAGACTGTCTCAGCACTCCCCCTACAGACACCTACAACAAGACACAAACATATCAGACTGTCTCAGGACTCCCACAACAGACACCTGCAACAAGACACAAACATATCAGACTGTCTCAGCACTGCCACAATCAACACCTGCAACAAGACACAAACATATCAGACTGTCTCAGCACTCCCACAACAGACACCTACAACAAGACACAAACATATCAGACTGTCTCAGCACTCCCACAACAGACACCTGCAACAAGACACAAACATATCAGACTGTCTCAGCACTCCCACAACAGACACCTGCAACACGACACAAACATATCAGACTGTCTCAGCACTCCCACAACAGACACCTACAACAAGACACAAACATATCAGACTGTCTCAGCACTCCCACAACCAACACCTGCAACAAGACACAAACATATCAGACTGTCTCAGCACTCCCACAACAGACACCTGCAACAAGACACAAACATATCAGACTGTCTCAGCACTCCCACAACCAACACCTGCAACAAGACACAAACACATCAGACTGTCTCAGCACTCCGGCAACAGACAAAGATACAATACAACAGACACCTACAACAAGACACAAACATATCAGACTGTCTCAGCACTCCCACAACAGACACCTACAACAAGACACAAACATATCAGACTGTCTCAGCACTCCCACAACAGACACCTACAACAAGACACAAACATATCAGACTGTCTCAGCACTCCCACAACCAACACCTGCAACAAGACACAAACACATCAGACTGTCTCAGCACTCCCGCAACAGACAAAGATACAATACAACAGACACCTACAACAAGACACAAACATATCAGACTGTCTCAGCACTCCCACAACCAACACCTGCAACAAGACACAAACATATCAGACTGTCTCAGCACTCCCACAACAGACACCTACAACAAGACACAAACATATCAGACTGTCTCAGCACTCCCACAACAGACACCTGCAACACGACACAAACATATCAGACTGTCTCAGCACTCCCACAACAGACACCTACAACAAGACACAAACATATCAGACTGTCTCAGCACTCCCACAACAGACACCTGCAACAAGACACAAACATATCAGACTGTCTCAGCACTCCCACAACAGACACCTACAACAAGACACAAACATATCAGACTGTCTCAGCACTCCCACAACCAACACCTGCAACAAGACACAAACACATCAGACTGTCTCAGCACTCCCACAACCAACACCTGCAACAAGACACAAACATATCAGACTGTCTCAGCACTCCCGCAACAGACAACGATACAATACAACAGACACCTACAACAAGACACAAACACATCAGACTGTCTCAGCACTCCCACAACAGACACCTGCAACAAGACACAAACATATCAGACTGTCTCAGCACTCCCACAACAGACACCTGCAACAAGACACAAACATATCAGACTGTCTCAGCACTCCCACAACAGACACCTGCAACAAGACACAAACATATCAGACTGTCTCAGCACTCCCACAACAGACACCTACAACAAGACACAAACATATCAGACTGTCTCAGCACTCCCACAACAGACACCTGCAACAAGACACAAACATATCAGACTGTCTCAGCACTCCCACAACAGACACCTGCAACAAGACACAAACATATCAGACTGTCTCAGCACTCCCACAACAGACACCTGCAACAAGACACAAACATATCAGACTGTCTCAGCACTCCCACAACAGACACCTACAACAAGACACAAACATATCAGACTGTCTCAGCACTCCAACAACAGACACCTACAACAAGACACAAACATATCAGACTGTCTCAGGACTCCCACAACCAACACCTGCAACACGACACAAACACATCAGACTGTCTCAGCACTCCCACAACCGACAAAGATACAATACAACAGACACCTGCAACAAGACACAAACATATCAGACTGTCTCAGCACTCCCACAACCGACAAAGATACAATACAACAGACCCCTGCAACAAGACACAAACATATCAGACTGTCTCAGCACTCCCACAACAGACAAAGATACAATACAACAGACACCTGCAACAAGACACAAACATATCAGACTGTCTCAGCACTCCCACAACCGACAAAGATACAATACAACAGACCCCTGCAACAAGACACAAACATATCAGACTGTCTCAGCACTCCCGCAACAGACAAAGATACAATACAACAGACACCTGCAACAAGACACAAACACATCAGACTGTCTCAGCACTCCCACAACCAACACCTGCAACAAGACACAAACATATCACCCTGTCTCAGCACTCCCACAACCGACAAAGATACAATACAACAGACACCTGCAACAAGACACAAACACATCAGACTGTCTCAGCACTCCCACAACCAACACCTGCAACAAGACACAAACATATCACCCTGTCTCAGCACTCCCACAACCGACAAAGATACAATACAACAGACACCTGCCATGGACATACATGAGAGATGGCAAACCTACATCAGATCCTGGGGGTGGCCTACCTTTTCAGCAATCATGTAGTCCTCCAGTAAGTACATTCGCAGACAGGTCGCCCCCAGTACAAAGATAAACGATATGTACAGGAAAGTTCTGAAATGACAGAATACTGAAATAGTACACAGACCTACAACGGTTTACATAAACCTCAGGAGGGCATCATATTCCTGCAATACATATTCCAGAAAACAAGGATGTAATATCTGAAGTCAGAGATGACACGAGTTCTACAAATCCTAGTACAGTAGTTTGAAGTTTTACGACCGCTTCAGCCTCTGGCTATGTCGCAGTCGGGGCCAGCGGGTTTTACGTGATAATATATAGTGGGAATAATAATAAACGTCTGGCCCCCCCCAATGTAAATGAAGGGGGATAAAGAAGGAGGAGAGAGCGGTGGGGGGGTATAGAAGGCAAGGCGTTGCCTGTAGAGAGTTTGTAAAAGTCCTATTTTATCATAGAATTAAGTCTAAGTATTGAAAAAAAAGAAACAAATCCTCGACATGTCTTGCTTCTTATATACTGTAAGACAATAACATAATTGACCCAACAACAGTTCACTGATTGGAGTATCAACGATGCCTAGTTTGACAGGAGTGGGTAGAACTCTTGACCCCAGCAGTGATAATTCACCGGATGCCTATTGTGCAATAAGTATTCTTTAAATGACATTTTTATGCACTTGTATTTCCGCTATCCAATGTGTGCAGTGAGGCCGTCTTATTGTTGATAATCATTTTGGAAATACAAATGCAAAGTTTCATTAATGCGAACAAGGACCACTCATTTTTCGCATTTAATTCATGCTCGCGTTAATTTCAAGATTGACAGTATTTTTATACAGGTAATCCAGACATGTGCAGCTACATTGGTAGGATTCTCTCACCATTTTCATTTCTCTCACATGAAATCAAAGACGAATGGTTTCACTGTTTCGTGTTAATTGACAATGAAGGTTTGGAAGCTGTATTAGTGTATTGAGTGACAAGGTAACAAGATAATCAGTTATAGTCATACTGATTTCTTATGAAATTGAGCATGACATAAAATGTTGTCATAAATGACATCATAAATAGGAACTGAAAATTTACCCGAATCTAGTTCCTCTTCAAATAAAGTGGCTACTTTTTAATACAGGTACCCAGCGGGGACCATAGGAAAGAACATAGGTCCCCAGCAACCTTTGCTTGTCAAAAGAGGCGACTTAAAGGATTGTGTGGTCAGGGTCAGTGACTTGGTTGATGCATGTCATCGTATCCCAATTGTATGGATCGATGGTCTGATGTTACCTGCCGGACTCTGTTATATACAGGCTGCTGTCATATAACTGTAATATTGCCTAGTGTGGCGTTAAAAAAACAAAACAAACAAATTGACTACACGAACAATGCAGAGTAAAATGAAGTTGCACTGCTGTTTCCCTGAGTACGTACCCCACCCCTAGAGCAGCCAGGGTGCCACGGGGGATATTGTAGAAAGGGTCTCGCAGGTCCCCACTCATATTGATTCCAGCCAGGATGCCCGTTACCGTGGCAAAGAAAAGACCAAATATACTGAAGAAGTCCTCCCCAGGGGCATACGAGGGACCTGAGTTGTTGAGGAAGTTCCTCTCCGTGTAACCTATGACTCCATTTTCTGAAAACAAATAAGATGAATTGATAAGTACATTTAATCAGACCTTATGCTGAAAACAAAAAAATAGAGTGAGTAAGTGAGTATGGTTTTACGCCGCTTTTAGCAATATTCCAGCAATATCATGGCGGAGGACACCAGAAATGGGCTTCACACGTTGTAACCATGTCAGGAATTGAACCCAGGTCTTCGGCATGTCGAGCGAAAGCTTTAACCACTAGGCTACTCGACCACCCCAGGTAAATAGAACATGACAGTATAGATGATGGTTTCCATTAGATGGTTCAAGGCTCAAGTCAGCTCACCATTCTTCCCAGTCACGCGTATTCAAGCAATACAGTCCTGTGAAGAACTCACGGAAACCTGTGATCACTGGTATGTGATTAACCAAGGATTGATAGAAAGTATTGAGATCCAAGACTTCTGTCTTGTTTCTATTTGTCATTAAATTTGTCATTAACTGGTTAACCTTCTTAAAATTTTGGCTACACGCTACTGACCTACATCCGTGTGTACAAAGGAGCCGACCATGAGGTCCATGGCAGACAGGAAGAGCACCAGCAGGAGAAGAAGCTGGAGCCGGATCACCCACTTGACACCCGCCACATTGATGCCTGTATGCCACAGATATACACAATCACTAATCACATCTGTTGACATGAAAGTGGGTACAAAGTCAACGAATCTGGACATTGTTTCTTTAATGTTCTTCCTGTGATTGCTTCGAAATGTATCAGTGTTTTAATTATATCACAGTGTCAGTCTAATGTGGAAGGAAAACCCAATGAGATGCGTGTTTACCACTTTAGTGGGTATGGTGATGACAGCCCAAGAATCGAACCGCTGTGAATCAATGACTATAGCCAATAGGGTCGCACGTTATAACCCGCCTACCGATTAATTGCATTACAAAATTCATGCGAATACGATTGCTGATCACATCGGGAGTTTCTGCTAAATGTTGTATATCGTATTCAGAATAGTTCAGAATAAGTTAACATTTTAATATAGCCAACACCAATTTTGATGACAGAGGTAAGGCAGACATTTAGAAACATTTTGGCCTTAAAAAGCTTGTGATAGTCAATAGAAACACTGCAGGGTCAAATGTTCGGGCGGTAATCATTACAAAGAAGACGTTGCAATATGTTACAATATGCATTGCAATACAGTATGTTGTATTGCATTATATTGCAATATGGAATTTCTGCCATCCAATCAGTGGATCCTGGCACATAAAGGAACATAACTCTGAGTTGCATCGTCTTACATCTCTAGGCAACCACATGGCATGTTTCTGGTGCTGCTTGTTCCGGCATATTCATTTTCAATTTGACCATATTTGTTTACCAGCTTATACTGCAGAATAAGACAGATTCATGAAATTTTATATCTGATACTATAATTATAATTTGTATGACAATTTTTAGCAACTCTGCAAATATGCTTAGTCTCCATTTGATAAATGTGGCTCCAAATCTGTCTATCAAACAAGCTGTGCTTACTCAGGTGCAACATGTTATTAGCCACGCCATAGACTGAACTCCTCTACCCATGTTACAATACAGCAGTGGTTCACATGGGATCAGTCACACCATAGACTGAACTCCTCTACCCATGTTACAATACAGCAGTGGTTCACATGGGATCAGTCACACCATAGACTGAACTCCTCTACCCATGTTACAATACAGCAGTGGTTCACATGGGATCAGTCACACCATAGACTGAACTCCTCTACCCATGTTACAATACAGCAGTGGTTCACATGGGATCAGTCACACCAAAGACTGAACTCCTCTACCCATGTTACAATACAGCAGTGGTTCACATGGGATCAGTCACACCACCATCTACGAGGCAGCTAATCTAGACTCACACAGCAGAAGTAAAACAATCCCGAAAGCGATGCCCCGAGCAATCCAGGGGTTGGACTGACCAATCAGCTCCATGATAGACTCGCCAAAACCCATCACACTGAGAGAACAGCTGACAGACTGCAAGAGAGACAATCTCATTAAACATAGTAAATAACCTCTCATCTCAGATGAAATGGGGTTTAACGTCGCATCCAAGATTACTGCACTTACATCGCGATATGCATGCATGCATGCATGTGTGTGTGCGTGTGCGTGCGTGCGTGCGTGACAGCTCAAACTAGTCCAGTCCGCCAAGATAACCAGTCCTTGTTTTATCCCATTAATGCAGAGCGCCAGGCAGGGTTACAACAAGTATTATCTTTTAACATCTTTTGGTATGACACAAAAACATAATTTATATAAATTATCCTACCTAAACATAAGTGCAAATTTTGTTTCCTCTTCAAGTCCTTTCAGTTATTATAATGACATAATCCTATTGTTCTCTCAGTTTATTCTGTCATAGTATTTTAACAGTAAATCACCACCCATACCTTTCTTTATGAGTGAGTGAGTGACTGAGTGAGTGAGTATGCTTTTACTCCACTTTCAGAAATATTCCAACCATATCACAGCAGGGTACACCAGAAATGGGCTCTTCTTGTGGGGAATCGAACCAAGGCTTTTGGCGTGATGAGCAAACGCTTTAACCACTGGGCTACCCCACTGCCCCCTTCGTTTAAACAGCTTTTTTACACTACTTTTACCCTGATTACTGTCAGTGACAGGAGACATGATGCACTCACTCACCTGTATCAATCTGCCATGCCAAAAGGAAAGTAAAAGTTCATATTCTTAATAGTGAGTGAGTGAGTTTGGTTTAACACTGCTTTGAACAGCATTCACTTATATCATGGCATGTCAAGTGAGGTGAGGTGAGGTGAGGTGAGGTGAAATGGGGTTTAACATCACATTCAACTTTATTGCACTTTTACAACGACATGTGTGTGTGTGTGTGTGTGCGCGCACGTGTGTGTGTGTGTGTGTGTGTGTGTGTGTGTGTGTGTGTGTGTGTGTGTGTGTGTGTGTGTGTGTGTGTGTGCGTGCGTGCGTGCGCACGTGCGTGCGCACGTGCATTATTGTGTGTGTGTGTGTGCGTGTGTCTGCTTGTACTAGGCAGAATGAATGCCATTGTCACTGGTTTACCATGCAGCAGTTTAATGGGGATGCCCCAATCAGACAGAGTAAATGACACGTCGACCATTCCTTTCTTATGAAGTTATAAAGGGGTAAGAAAGGTACCTCTGATGTTGTCTGGTATAAACTCATGAATGTTTTCTGAATGAATACCTACGTATCTCTTCATGGTTCAAAATAAACAAATTCTGCTCGCCCAAGAAGAGAAAATTCTGGAAACTACTCATGCTGTTTCCTTGTGGACGACCACTTTTACCACTTCAGATCATTTTTACGGACTAGTAATAAACAAAATATTCCTACTTAGACACAGAACGTACAAATGTCAGGAGTCACGGAGGGCTGTGTAAACCTAGCACCCAGCCACCAACCCATCCAATACAATTCTCCCAGCAACCTCTTTGTCATCGTTACCCATAATACCATGTGTTCACCTACCTACACAAACAGGCAGATATCTCACGTTGATGAAAAGGAGAGGGGAGCAAAATAGATTATCTCGTTTTATTAACACGCCACCAGCACTTATCAGTAAAAATGACAAATGTCTCTATTGATTAAAACTTCATAGTTTACATAAGTCCACTTGCTCTTACTGGAATCAATAGTTTTAAGCTTTGATGGACACGCTCGTACATTTGAACATTACATAATACATGCTCAGGGCCAGGCCTTGTTATAGTGACACACATAGCTTAAAAAGCTGTATTTCTTATCACAAAATTCAAGGCTTTTTCAAGGCTCCTCCCCTCAAATCAGGGCCATGTGTTACTTTCCTTTCGCCAACTGGCCAACAGTGTGTCACACTAACATGATCTAAGACCACCTTCCATTTGCACATGAAATCTTGGTATGTCTTGGGCCTTTCCATTCACATTGTAGAAGCCATTCACATTGTAGAAGTTTTAACAGATTTCAAACTTTGAAACAAAATATATATTTTTAGTACAGTGATTCCTCAAAATAGCGCTGCCATCAGGGTCCAAGAGCCTGACCCCACATTCTTGGAATAAGCTAGGAAATATTTACTTGTGATAGGGATTTGATGGGAAAATTCCCTTTCTTAGGGTTTTTCAAGGCAGATTCTAGAGTCAGCATCATAAGGACTAGTGGGACTAAAAATGTTAATTTCTACCGCTGCAAATCCACATCAAACACTGAGCTAGGTCCAGTAATATTTACAGAATAGGTTGGTGATAATCTAGGTATTAAATGTATTAAATAGAAAGTTATTTATCCAAATTAAATGTTGATTTGAAGATAACATTTATTCTCATATATTACAGACAAAATGAATAGAATAATCATGAAACAAGCCACAATTATCAGTCAGAGTGTGTGGCCCACTGTGACTTGCCCAACGATGGACCATTACCAACCACACTGCCACATGACGTTGTAGCTAATCTGTATACTATCATAAACAAACATGGCGTCAGACTATTGGAATGGCTCTGTCGGCACTTGTGATTGACTGAGCGCCTCACAAATCAACTGATGATATCTGGCTTAATGATCTCCCTAGAATAATTTTAGGACAACACAGTCACGAACACTACGGCAAAGTACAATGTTTATACACTATTCTGATACTCTAATCATCCTTGCATGTGCCAGTATCACCCACTGCACACTCAATCGTTTCCATAGTAATTACAAGTCAATGTCAATGTTGGCCGAATCAAACACCAAGGACGAATGATGTCACGCAACTGACAGTGATATATTCCATTGTTGATGACATGTTTCTAGGTCTGTGTCACACTAATCTCACTGTGTGGTTCATGTGAATAACAAATACCATGTTTTGGGAGTTGGTGAAGGGCTATTAATTTGCTGTCAATTTTTGCTAACAAAACAGTAACATTATTTTCCAGTTTTCAGGGCATCAACGTTTGCAGAAGCCCTCAGTCTGTTCAACTGTTGTGCAGTAAATGGCAGACCTTGGACTTCTGCAAATGTTGCCCTGAAAAGTAGCATTACCCTCATAAGATCCCTTTGTGGACTGAGACCTGGTTCTTGGGGTCTTGTCAAATTAGTGTGAGTATGCAGCAGTGTTTTTAAGGAAGAAAAGTGTTTCTCTCAGGTATGATAGTAATACTGATTCCCATCAAGCAAAAATAAGGTCATGCAGAGTGTTTGGGTGGTGTGAATGGTATCAGAATATTCGGCTGGTGTGAATGGCATCAGGACTCTAAGACTTCATCTTTCGTATCCTCAGTGACGATGGTTAACATTTTACCTGAGCAAAGCAGTAGATAATGCCAACGCTGCCGCCGATGCGTCCACCCAGGACATGGGAGATGAGGAAGTACACGCCGCCACTCTCCATACGACATCGCTCACACACCCCTATAGCACTGAGAGCCACGATCAACACAATAGACACCGACAGCAGCACTGTCACGATCGATAGTCCGATTCCAGCATTACCCTGCAATAAACAATCATTCACATAAAAAGAGTCTTATACTTCAATCCATGTTACATGAAATAAGATATCATTACACAGCGATAGAAACTAAACAGTTGTAGTCTACTAGTCCTCATAATGATAATATATAGCAAAACCCTAAAAAATATTTACTAATATTTGGAAATCTTTTATATTTCTTTCTTCTCACTGAGCCTGTAATCTAATTAACAAGCTGGAAAAAAAACACCTTCAAAGAAGATCACTACAGTAATACAGAAAGCATTTTAGCGTTAGCAATTGGCACTACTCCTATAGTAGTCAAGATCACATACTTTGAGTACCCCTCTGACAAGTGTAAATTGGCACGGCTCCCATGGCCGAAAGCTATGAATACACAATGCCATTTAGAAAGTGGTCAAATGTAACAAATATTATATTTGGGATAATAGAGGGGTACTCAAAGTACATGATCTTGACTACCAGTTGTCAGACTTTCATTTTTGTGGAAGCCTCGGTGGCTGAGTGGGTTAGATCGCTGACTTTGTGTGCTGGCAATTAGGTGCGTCACTCTGGCAAGTATGGGTTCGAATCCCCGACGGGACTCAACCCCCAAAAAGTATGAGAATCTGTACTTTACTAAGAAAGTGTTATGCCAAATATAACATTTGTTACATTTGACCACTTTCTAAATGGCACTGTGTATCAATATCATTCTGTTGAGAAACTTTGCAGTTAACTTTACAACATAACTTTTTTATAAGTTTAAGAATAGAAACTGCAATAACACTACAATATAGACATCCAAATTCATCACAATAATTTTATAATGAAGTCAAAGAAACATAAAAGATTATGTCATAAAAAATCTACAGCTAGAAAAGGCTAACTATAACATAAAAGTGAACTTTCTCAAAGACCATGGGATTTAATAGAAGGTCCAAAGTGAGGAATCGGTGTCTGACTGGTGAACTTACCACAATCCATCCCATACGGAGGAAGATGACCACGCTGAGGATGTTGATAAGGCAGGATGTAAACACACCATCCCACGTCCCAAACAGCACAGGCTCCGAGATGAAGAAGTTGGACTTCCACCATGGCTGTTGGGACAGGTTCTGAAAGACGAATGCAAAAAATGTGTCAAATTTGTGTTTATACACATATAATATATAATAATCATATGCTTCTTTATTGCAGAAATTCTGCAGTATTTTCAGGAATGTGATCACTTCCTCAGTGAACCTTGACCATAGTTTGAACAATGGAAACTACATTTCGTAATGTAAAAAATAAAAATACATATGATAAAGATACTGTGTTCCACTGAAAAACTATTTCTAGATCTTACTTTTTTGTTAACTATCATTTCAAGTACATCTGATTGCAGCATAAAATCTGAGTTCTTAGGTTATCAGCTTTAAATTGAATATTTTTTGGTATTTCTTTATATTTTGGTGTCATAGACTTCCACTCTTCTGTTGGCCATATTTATCTCTCTCCTTCATCCTTGCTTATTGATGGAAATGAGACTAGAGGACAGGCAACTACTTTCGTCCAATAGGTGGTCACTATTTTGGTGACCTGGAGTACTGTTGAATGTTGATAAAGTACTGTAAAGTATACAAGATTATAGAGGCGTGAAACTCATGTGCTTCATGAAACTTGTGGGGGCGGTCGGGTAGCCTAGTGGTAAAGCGTGTCACGCTGAAGACCCGGGTTCTATTCACGACATGGGTACAATGTGTGAAGCCCATTTTTGGTGTCCCCCGCCATGATATTGCTGGAATACTGCTAAAAGCGGCGTAAAACCTCACTCACTCACACGTGAAACTTGTGCACTTCAGCATGACAGGCCTTAATAAAAAACACTTGACTACACGAACCACACAGTGTATGTGAAATCGTGCAATCTGCTTTGAATGTGAATGGTGGAGTTTGTGCGATCTGCAGTGTATAGATCATGGAACACGAGTATTTTTCTGTGTCCTAATATAGTTAGAAAACTTGTACCAGTATTTTATGTATATATGTGCTGCTTCGCCTTGTGCTTTGTTCTCGTCACAGTATGTTTACCAGAATATCTCGATATATGTACTGGACACTTGTCCTCTATCTATTACATCTCCATAAGCTAATAAGTGTGTATCATTTCTAAATGCCTTTCAAAGAGCCTTTAAGCCAATACAACATAATCTGACCTTACAGTTTACCTAATATCCATAGAATCTGCTAGTCTTCGTTATACAGCTGGAATATTGCTGAGTGTGGCATTAAACAACACCAAAACTAATCTATTCTTGGAGCAATATGACTATGGAAGTCAATATGATGGTTCATTAACAGCATGACATGTTCTTCAATATTGCTGCATGGCAACATAGTACCTAGGTCCATGCATGCCTGCAAATGATCAATTATGGCCGGTGGATTAATGAATAGTCACACCTGTGGTGTTCATCACCTGTCTCACCTGTCAATCACAAATGTCTAATGAGAATGATGATAGGTAGTGCTGCATTATCCTCTCTGCATGTACACCTGGCCATACAATACAAGCCATCATTTTGCCTTGCTGAGCTCACTAAACACTGTGTGAAGCGAGGTAGATCTCTATTATATTGGCATGCCTACTAAACACTGTGTGCAGCCAGCTCTATTATGTAAAACTCTATGCTGGTTGGACCAAACTATTCTTCCTACAGGCAGTGAGACCTGGGCCCACTTGCACAAAGCGATCTTAGCGCTAAGATGATCATAACTCCCATACTTTAGCATAGGCTTACAATAGTCATAGCGCTAAGATCGCTTTGTGCGAGTGGGCCCTGGGGTGCAGTTTTACTTTTTCCTAGTGAGATCTGGGCCCACTTGCACAATATTTTAGCGCTAAGATGATCATAATCCATACTTCAGCATAGGCTTACAATAGTCTTAGCGCTAAGATCGATTTGTGCAAGTGGGCCCTGGGGTGCAGTTTTACTTTTTCCTGGTGAGATCTGGAGTGCAGTTTTACTTTTTCCTAGTGAGACCTGGGGTGCAGTTTTTCTTTTTCCTAGTGAGACCTGGGGTGCAGTTTTTCTTTTTCCTAGTGAGACCTGGGTTGTAGTTTTACTTTTTCCTAGTGAGAGCTGGGGTGCAGTTTTACCCTCACCTGGTGAGACCTGGAGTGCAGTTTTACTTTTTCCTGGTGAGACCTGGAGTGCAGTTTTACTTTTTCCTGGTGAGACGTGGGGTGTAGTTTTACTTTTTCCTAGTGAGAGCTGGGGTGCAGTTTTACCCTTACCTGGTGAGACCTGGGGTGCAATTTTATTTTTCCTAGTGAGATGTGGGGTGTAGTTTTACTTTTACCTGGTGAGACCTGGGGTGCAGTTTAACTTTTTCTAGTGAGACCTGGGGTGCAGTTTTACATTTTCCTAGTGAGACGTGGGGTCTAGTTTTACTTTTTCCTAGTGAGACATGGGGTGCAGTTTTACATTCCTGCAGTGTCACTATCATATTATCACCTACATTCCTGCACTATCACTATCATATTATCAACTACATTCCTGCAGTGTCACTATCATATTATCAACTACATTCCTGCAGTGTCACTATCATATTATCAACTACATTCCTGCACTATCACTATCATATTATCAACTACATTCCTGCACTATCACTATCATATTATCAACTACATTCCTGCACTGTCACTATCATATTATCAACTACATTCATGCACTATCACTATCATATTATCAACTACATTCCTGCACTGTCACTATCATATCATCAACTACATTCCTGCACTATCACTATCATATTATCAACTACATTCCTGCACTGTCACTATCATATTATCAACTACATTCCTGCACTATCACTATCATATTATCAACTACATTCCTGCACTATCACTGTCATATTATCAACTACATTCCTGCAGTGTCACTATCATATTATCAACTACATTCCTGCACTATCACTATCATATTATCAACTACATTCCTGCACTATCACTATCATATTATCAACTACATTCCTGCAGTGTCACTATCATATTATCAACTACATTCCTGCAGTGTCACTATCATATTATCAACTACATTCCTGCACTATCACTATCATATTATCAACTACATTCCTGCACTATCACTATCATATTATCAACTACATTCCTGCACTATCACTATCATATTATCAACTACATTCCTGCACTGTCACTATCACAAGGGAAGAGAGAGAGAGGGAGAGAGAAAGGGAGAGAGAGAGAGAGAGAGAGAGAGAGGGGGGAGGGAGGGAGGGAGGGAGGGACGGACGAAGGGACGGACAGACAGACAGACAGACAGAACGAACAAGTTGAACTGGCATAGACTTGCCTATATGTAATTTGAAACAATTCATAATACAAAACAAGTTATGCGTAAGATGATACTAGTCCCACTCCCCACTATAGATCTATCAATAGGCAACCAGCCAATGAGCTGCCATTGCCTGGAACATCATTCCACAGAACAATTACTCCGCTTCCACTGCACCAAAATATACCAGGTGGGGGGCAAGTGTGGCCCAGTCGTCTAACGCGGCGTGATTCGCTGTGCAGAGTTGCGTCCCTTGGGAGCACCTTACCTGTGCTCGTGGGTTTCACCGAAGTGGTAACCATCAAGGACCTGCATCACTTCAGGCTTTCCTCCCACATTAAGCTGACACGCCGCGATATAACTAAAATACTGTTAAAAGCGGCATTAAACCCAACTCACTCACTCAATATACTGGGCACTATTTTCAAGTAGCTGTTTGCATCCTCCTCCTCCTCAGTTTTAGCATAGCCTGTGAATCAATCTGTTAATAATATAATTCTGAGCAGATAATGGATACAAATTTAAATATCGCCAACAAACCAGTGAGGCGACAAACAGACACAGGAATTTACAAACACTAACAGCTGTTAAATCTGTCTTAAATGTCCCTTTCATGAATTATGTATCACCCATGGATCACTGTAATGACAGATGCTGAAATCTCTCTCCATAATCAATTATTTATTTCACATCAGTTCATGCTAATTTTGCAAATGAAAAAATAAAATGCATGTTTTTAACAACCTTCAATTGTTCAAAAGTGAGACTTTTAATAATGTTATTCCATATTTGTTAGTAATCCTGATCTCTTAGTGTTGACTGTCTTTAAACATGTTAAAAATATACTAAAAATACATTTGTTATTAACGACAATTACTAAATGATGACACAAAATCTTTTGGGACAAAAATAACATGACGGGTAGATAATTACAACAATTTTCTCTGTGTATAGCCTTATACATCAGTTGATTGACAGGTCAATAACATCTGTTCACCTGAACTGGTGCTATTGACTTGTGTATCATGTGCAGGCAAGTGGGATGAGGATCTGACACTGAGACAACAAAATTACCCCTCCTCTGTTGAAAGTGGGCCAAATAGGAAATGTGGCAGAACACTTCGGAGCTTAACTACGAGGGAGCAAGTTGGGTTTAACACCGCTCCCAACAACAATAATCCAGTTACATGACAACATGTTATCTTAATGTGAGAGGAAAGCTCAAAGTGATGCAGGTCTCAGATGTGTATCACTTCAGTGAAACCCACGAGCCCTGGCTTAGTGCTGACAAACCTAGAAACATAGTTAGAGCAAACCCAAATGCCTAACTACGAGGGATGTAGAGTACACGGTTTGCATGTATTAAGTACAATACTTTTATACAACATGTGCATGCGTGTGTGATGGACAGAAGGACAGACGGGCAGAAGGACAGAAGCACGGACATACAGCACCTATTCCCATATCCCCCTTCCACTTTGTGGCAGGGGATAATAACTGACAACGTAAACAACACGCAGATTTTGCTTCATAGCAGGGTTTAAGAGAGCAGCCTGTTTTCTTCATGGCGGGGTATAAGGGATTTATTCTCCCGCTCAGAAGTTTATTTCATTCCCAGGCAGGATACATCTCAACATTAGGACATGGAGGTAACATAATGAATACTGTAACAGTAACATACAACAGGTCAATGAATAAATGAACACAACAGAATAACTATCACCATATGTCCCCATGGAAGTGACTACATGAATATTATACTGGCACATAGAGTGAGT